TAATGCATACACTGTTTCAATATATCTAAGAACAGGGCAGCCATTTTTGCTCAATTTAAGAGCATGCTCTGCATCCTTCTCTAGTTTTGCGTCATGGTTTCTCACTTTAATACAATGGAGATAGCTGTAAGAGTGACTGAAAACAGCAGACAGTCTCTGGCAAATTGATATCACCCCAGCAGTTATATAGCAGGTTGATAACTACTTCCCCATACAGTCCTATGCAGGAGTATCCTTTTTGTTGATTTTCTCCATCAAAGGAAAAAAACACAGCTGCAGAGAACCAAGTAACATGGTGTATCTTTAGTAATTTAAATGGATAGTTATATTAAGCAACGTGCCCTGACGAACATTTTACATTTTACATTGAGATCAGCAGTGTTCACCTCTATTCAGAAATACAGGAACATTTTGCCAAACAAGGCACTGCTAAAGAGCCTGAGGATGTTCAGATCATGCATGCACATCTGTCTGCACTCAAAAGACTATGGGCATCCTTAATCCCAGTAGGGAGAGGTCAGTAAATACTTTGACCCTTGTAGCATCTCATGATGATTTGCTTTCAACCAATAGCCATGGACAAGCAGTCAGTGCAAACTAAAATGAAAATATCTTTATATACAAAAGCTAAATAATTATGGGTAACTGTATAAAGATAGCTAATAGAGGGAGACTCCTGTGTATACATCACCACCCTTAAAATATGGAGCTGCGATCAGGTAAACATGTGGATCTCACCGCAGTATGTTTCAGGTAAATGCTATGCCCTAGTGTCTGCCTTATCTCATTAAAAACACACTGTACTTTTCCCTTCAGTCCGTTCAGCTGTTTTGCCTTCAGCTTCGCACTAAGCCATATCAAACTGAATGGTTGAACAAAGCTCCGCACTCTTCAAAGTCCTCTGGTGTCTTTTTGTTTTGTTTTTTTTCTTGTGCTCAAAGCTACCATAATACATTTTGGTTTGAACTATAATGATATAACTTTAGGGATTTATGATATTTTTTTCCTTGCATAACAAATGTCAGTCATTTTGATGTATCATTTAACAGATTACAAATCTGAGTAGACCATAATTCACTCATCTGTTCTTATCTCGTTTCTTTTTATAACATAGCCTGGGAGTAAGATGGTAGCTTCTGCCAAGGCTGCAGTGCCTACAGTGGCCGATCAGGCAGCAGCCATGCAGTTAGGTCAGTGTGCGAAAAATCTTGCTACCAGCTTGGCTGAGCTACGTACCGCAGCACAGAAGGTGAGATATCTGCATATGGCATTGTTGTCGAAATGCCTTGCACCTGTCTGCTTCCTGTAGTGGAACAATTTTTACATTGTTTTACAGGCTCACGAAGCATGCGGACCTATGGAAATCGATTCAGCTTTGAATGCTGTTCAGACTCTAAAGAATGAGTTGCAGGATGCTAAGATGGCAGCTACAGATAGCCAGTTGAAACCTCTTCCAGGGGAAACGGTAATGTTGAATTGTCTAAGAATATTTACATTAAAATTAAATAATAAAATTCAAATGTGTGCACAAACAGTAAAGCTCAGGAAAGTAACAATACAATCATTGTTTGAAAAACACTATTTAACAAAAGTATATAGTGACTACTGGAACCCTATTTGTCTGACATCTGGATAACCCTATGGGTTAATGCTATATTCAATGTTTGAATAAATCAAAAAACACATAGGGCTACCATGGAGCCTATCCTAAGGTGACAGTGCCACATACAGCTCGATTTTGTGCAATTCATGGCCAGCTTTAATCCCTTGGGTGTTTACTATCCGCGCTATTCCCACCCAGAATCCACAGTGAGAATAGTCTGTTGGATCACTGCACTCTGCAAATCATTGGGACTGCCAGTAGATCCTTTTGTGTGTATTCAGCAAGGACAACACAGTCTCTAGTATCTGTCCATCTACTAACTTGGAGAATGGAAGAGCAGGGAGCAGGGGAGTGGCTTGACTTGTCGTTGTGACGTGTTTGTATAGACGCACAGCGTTTACTAGCACACACAAGGGTGGTTTAATAGGAACCTTGAAAGGAAAAGCAGCCACCCTATAATGGTATGTCCAGTCCAATCTGGGACCAACTGATTCAGCAGGAAAACTAAATCTTTTACACACCAAGAACCAGCATCCATTGTAAATGATTTTATTAGCATGTAAATTGGCTTATAACATTTTGACTTAAATATAATTTTTAGAGCTTCTAATATTTATTTCTGTCCTTTTGTGGATCTGCAGTTGGAGAAGTGTGCCCAAGACCTTGGTAGCACATCAAAGACCGTTGGTTCATCCATGGCTCAGTTGTTGACGTGTGCTGCTCAGGGAAATGAACATTACACAGGTATGACCATTCTTCAGGCTTTCACAGCCACTCAGAAAATCATTTACACATCACTGTCACTTTGATTCAGCACCAGATGTTCCGTCTCTATTTGTGTGTTGAGAAGATGATTGCTTGTATCTCAAATAAGCTGTTAAATGGTTTCTGTGCTGATGTAAGAGAAATGAGCTAAATGAACATATTGCACAAGGAGCATTATGCTTCTATCTACTGACATAATGCAGTATCCATGTGAATTTTATGAACCACTAAAGTATGCTCCAGTCCAAGGCTTTACAATGGAAGTCACATTAGGGCTGATAAATGTCACATGTCTTAAAAAGCTCCTTCATATTGAAACAATTTGGTGTCATCTGTGTAAAAATAAGGAGAGCTTTCAGTGTTAAATGCAGTGCTCTATACACTGATATGTTAGTCCTATTATGCATTAATGTATGGCTTATATGGCCTGTCATTTATATGTGAATATTTCTTCCTAAATAAGAACTGCTAACTTTTGTTTTAGTTTTCAATATAAAATGTGATATTAGTGAAAAACTGGTTAGGTGAGATATCATGAACAATTACTTCAGGATAGAGGAACAAGTACAGTTAGTGCTGTAATACAAGATAGATTGCTCTGGAAGACTGAACACAGTAAACTGCACAAGATGCCTTTAAAAGACAATTATGGGGTAAGTGTTTGCCTCCATAGGTCTCTTTAGGGTCACGGGAGGACATATACTAACCTCCTCCCGTGACCCAAAGCTTAGTATATAGCGGTCTATTGCCCGCGATATACTGAGAGCGCCGCAGCCGGGACGGATGCCGGAAATATTGTCGAGATCCACCCAGCTGACTAATTAACAATGGGCTCTGCCTATCTAGAGGATGAGCCAGCTGTGCCCACCCCCACCCCTGTCCGTTCCTCTACTCAGCGCTGGAGGATCAGAGAGAGTTGGGGGGAATCCCTGCGAGGAGGGGTCACTGGCAGTCACTGCTCTCTGCAGGGAGACGATCGGGAAGTGAGGGAGCGCCGGTATGTGTTCGTTCACTTCCCGATCTATAGAGCTGACCTGTGACCAGCTTCCTTGTTACAGGTCGGCTCTAACTTTGAGGATGAGTGGAAATAACTTGCATCGTAGTTCTCCTTTAAATGCTTTTATATTGGACCAGTCACTAAAGATTACACTTCACGGGAATCCATAGCGAATATGTTATAATTACCAGATAATATATCTTCGCATAGACTGTCGTAAATCCTGTCACTTATAACCTAAGCAAAGATTGCATCTTTGGTGGATTCTCAGCATTTCACATTATTAGAGACTGCAGAAAGGCTTTGGTTTTCAATCTGGCATATATTACCAATGAGATCAGAGCTTCAGCATAGAGCAGAACCTACTTCTATGATGGAATATATCTCTGTCCTTGTGTACATATATATTTACAAACTAACGATAAGCAGTGATAATTATTTACATTTATCTGATATTTTTAGACGGATATCTAAAAAGCATTACATAGCTGCAGGCCCTCCTTTGCAGATGACTACACCATAGTGCTCCCTAAGTAAACACATATGATTTGGTACTTGTAGCCACTTAGTATTTTGTTTCATTTGTTCACAATTGTTATCCATTTAAGGCAAGGTACAACTTCATCCTTTAGCTTGGTAACCCATCTATCTGCTTGCTGCCAGATAATAAAGATTCTAGTTGAGATATGGAGAGTAGTGAAGGGTTTGGTCATTTTCTTGTGTATTATGGGATGGATTTTTGTTCTCTTTATTAATGAAAATGCATATCATGCTACACCCAAGAGAAGAATTTCCAAATACCTTCTCATTGGTGCAGAGACTCTGTCTCTATTCATCACATTTTCTCAAATACTCCTGATACTTGTTGGAGATGTGGAGTGGAGAGTGGCACTTGTATACATATCTGGTGGGACTGTCCCCTGATATGTTGCTTTGGCTTAAACTATTTGCTCTATATAATGACCTATAGGGCTCATAAACACGAGCATAAAAACCGCTGCGTTCTGATGCGCGCTGCGCTTGTTCCTGTGCGCATCTCTGTGCAGCATATGCAAATACACGGCCACATACAGCTGCATATAGGGTCGGGTTTTTGCGTTGTTCAGATGCGCACATAAATATGGAAAAGGGTGCTTTCGGGTCCATAAATCCTGCATATTGTACGCAGGTAACACGAGTGTATGTGTGTTTACGCACCTAGAATATAATGTTTCTAATGCTATAAAAAAAATAATTTGTACTTTGAAGATTAACGCAATGAATGATATCATGCGTATGGAGGAGTTGTTTGCTATAGACTCTGACTCCAACAAATTTTACAGTTTGCGGGTGGTGTGGATACACTTTTCTACATCTTAATGGTTTGAAGAATAGACTCACATAATGCCTATTCTTACATAAGCTCCCTTTTTGTGGCCTTTTTCTTCATGCTCTTCCCCAGCTGGACCTAGTTTTCTTCTCTACGCTGCCTTTTGTTTATCTGTCACTCTGATCTTCTTTCTAAGCTCTTTGTCTCCCTACTTGTAACCATGATTAGATTACGTCGGGGCCATCTCTTTGTTTTCCTATACTCGCATAACCGCACCTGTGCCACATCACACCATTCTCACCAATCTGCATGTTCCTTCATGCTCCTAAACCGTTTAGACAAGTAGTCTGGTGTTTTCAGGGATGTAGTAGCTTCTGTGTAATGTGACTATTTGCACTTGTTTGGATTGCCTAGATCATATTCATTTGATCGTTAACTATTTCTGTATTGCACTTTCACTTGCCCACCTCTAACTTGTCCTTATTGTTCTTGAATTCTCAAAAACAGATTCAACCATAAAAAATGTGTAAATATTTACTTCGAATATCCAGTCCTGTGAAAACCAAATTCTACAATATCCATTCATGTGCAGATGCTTTTCACATGACTATTTACACAATTTTTGAGTGTAGATTCTATGCTCTTTTAGTAAATCGGCCCTAATATCTGTGTAAGAAAGGCATAGAGAAGTTGCATTTCTCAAACCAGTTACAAAGTCCAGGGGTCTGCCAGAAACTCGATCCAGAATTGCCCAGTGCGCCTTAGACATGCATACAAAGAAGGATCTTTGTTTTTCTTCTTGAAAAACAATGGCTGACTAACATTCGCAAAGAGTTCTTCCAATGTGTTGGAAAACCTTTGTGCAAAAAGGAATCACTTTTCATTATCTTAAAGGGTTATTAAACCCTCTGGGTTTTTTTGCATATATCTCCTGCTAGCAAGCCGTAGATATATGCAAAAAGTGTAAAACAAAACAGAAATAACAAAAAAATTAAATATCTTCCGTGCATCACTGCAAAAGATTCATGTTTCCCCATGTTTTTGCCCAAAGTGCCATTTTTCTGTCCGTGTTTCAGCGGCCAAAGTTTCGGTGAATCCCTACGTACTATGCTGATCCCGAATTCTCTTGTTAGAAAATAACACAATGTCAGTTTGACATTACAAAGTCTGGAATGTTGCTCTTATGCCACAAACTGAAATATAATTTTTTAGTTAAGTGGCAGAGAGTTAAACCACCTGACATATTTCCTTAATTTGTTTGTCTCATTGGCCATTATGACAGAATTGGCTCTTCCTGTTGGACTTTTTACAGATTTTATGTTTTATAGACTGCAACTGGAAGAACTAGAAAGCAAACACAAAAGTGGGCATGAAAACCAAAATCCCCCAGCAGAACAGGAACAAATATTCAAGTAAAAGCAGATATCTAGGCAAATGCTATATGCAATTTAAATACATAGTTGTGTGAAAAAGAAAGTACACCCTCTTTGAATGCTATGGTTTTCAGTATGAGGACATAATGAATATATGTGGTCCTTAGCAGGTCTTAAATTTAGGTAAATACATCCTCAGAAGAACACCACCACATGACACATTACACCGTGTCATTATTTATTTTATTAACATAAACAAATGGAGAAGCTGTGTGTGAAAAACGAAGTGCACCTTATGATTCAATAGCTCGTAGAACCACCTTTTACAAGTAATAACTTGAAGCAATCATTTTCTGTATGACTCTCACATCGTTGTAGAGGAATTTTGGCCCACTCATCTTTACAATATTGCTTCAGTTCACTGAGGTTTATGGGTATTTGCACAGCTCTCTTCCTGCCACAGCATTTTAATCGGGTTGAGGTCTGGACTTTGACTGTGCCATTGCAACACTTTGCTAGTGTGCTTGTGTTCATTGTCTTGTTGCATGACCTAATTTTGGTCAAGCTTTAGCTGTCAGACAGATGGTCTAAAATTTGACTCTAAAATACTTTGGTATACAGAGGAGTTCATGATCGACTTAATGACTGCAAGGTGCCTACGTCCTGTGGCTGCAAAACAAGCCCAAACCATCACCCCTCCAAACCATGCTTGGCAGTTGGTATAAGGTGTTTGTGCTGATATGCTATGTTTAGTTTTCACTAGGGATGCACCGATACCACTTTAAGGCCGAGTACGAGTACCGATACTTTTTCCCAAGTACTCGCTGATACCAATTACCGATACTTTTTCTTAAAGGCACAGGTCACATTTTTTCTAAAGCAATACAAAATCATGATTTTCTTAATATTATGAAGAACATGAACACTCTGTAGTGTGGCACAGCTATATCCAATTCTGCATACCTGGCTTTATATTATAAGAACTTTATAATATAAAGCCAGGTATGCAGAATTGGATACAGCTGTGCCACACTAAGGTGGCGGGTCTTAACAGCAAGCATGCATGGCTGGCCAGGCCGCGCTGCGGCGCTGAGAGAGGGAGAGTCGCCAACGGCTGTGTTCAGTGCGTACAGGCTGGAGTCCCACAGACAGGCTGGCTGTATCTTCGAACGAGAAGAAGTCTAGATGAATGGGCATAGAGAGCCCCCTTTTCTGTGCACAGTGCCCATTCATCTAGACTTCTCGTCGTTCGAAGATACAGCCAGCCTGTCTGATGACAGGCTTCCTCACCAGTCCCTCCTGACTGGTGAGGAAGCCTGTCAATCATCCAATCGGCCAATCAGCGGGAGAAGAGATCAGATGACTAGGCTGTGACATCTGCTCTATTCTGACCTTTCAGTCAGGAAGCTTCCTCACAGGCTTCCTGACTGGTGAGGAAGCCTGTCAATCATCCAATCGGCCAATCAGCGGGAGAAGAGATCAGATGACTAGGCTGTGACATCTGCTCTATTCTGACCTTTCAGTCAGGAAGCTTCCTCACAGGCTTCCTGACTGGTGAGGAAGCCTGTCAATCATCCAATCGGCCAATCAGCGGGAGAAGAGATCAGATGACTAGGCTGTGACATCTGCTCTATTCTGACCTTTCAGTCAGGAAGCTTCCTCACAGGCTTCCTGACTGGTGAGGAAGCCTGTCAATCATCCAATCGGCCAATCAGCGGGAGAAGAGGTCAGAATGGAGCAGATGACAGAGGAGGTCGCGGCCATCTTGCTTCATTGAAGACGCGATGGAGGTCCTGTGTGCGGCGGATTCGGGTCCCTGAAGATGGCGGACGCGGCACAGGTACTCTTTTTATGTATCGGAGTATTTGCAAGAGTACGAGTACTCATGCAAATACTCGGTATCGCCGCCGATACCGATGCTTGTATCGGTGCATCCCTATTTTTCACCCATTATGGCGCTGCGCATTATGACCTAACATCTCCACTTTGGTTTCGTCTGTCCAAAGGACATTGTTCCAGAAGTCTTGTGGTTTGTTTAGATGCAACTTTGCAAACCTAAGCTGTGTTGCCATGTTTTTTTAAGAGAGACTATGCTTTCTCCTGGCAACTCTTCCAAACAAAACATATTGTCCAGTCTTTTTCTAATTGTAATGTCATGAACATTTAACATGGTAACTGAGGCTTGAAGAGTCTGAGATGTAACTCTTCCGTTTTTTTGCTCTTTCCCAGAGCATTGCTCGGACTGACCTTAGGAGGAATTTGCTAGGATATCCACTCCTGGGAAAATGAGCAACTGTCTTGAATGTTTCCCACTTGTAAATAACCTTCCTCACTGTAGAATGATGGACCTGAAATTGTTTGGAAATTGCCTTATAACCTTTGCCAGATTGATGGGCAGCAGCAATTGCTTCTTTAACCACTTGAAGACCGGGGTGTTACACCCCCTTCCTGGCCAGGCCATTTTTCAGTGTTCAGCGCTGCGGTACTTTGACTGACGTTTATTCCGTCAATTGCTGATGTCTTTCCTCCTTAGCACACCTGAATGCACCAGACCAACAAACTGGTAAAACTTTTGCTTTTAGTGTTGGTTCACACCTAGGCAACAGCATTTTAGCTCATTTTTGATGCATGCTTTTTGCACACCTGTATGCATGTTTTATACGCATAAATCAAGTCGCACGTTTTTGTGGGCATATTGTAGCTCATTGATGTTAATGAGCAAACGCGTACAAAAACACCACAGAACGCGCATTTTCAAGTGTTTCTTGTTGATTTTATGGTGCCAAATCTAGCTGTAATCTGCCAAAAAAAAAGTTAATGTACTGTTTCCAGTGAGTGTTTTGCTTATTGCGACAGAATGCTCAGATGTCAACAGGGCCATATAAATTAATGGGATTTTTTTTGGGGGGGTCATATTGTTTAAGCATTTTTTAGGGCAGAGAAAGCATTACAAAACGCTTAGAGGTGATCACACTTGCTGATGAACAACTAATCAAGGGTTTTTGATGAGCAGTACCTGGCTGCTACTTAGCCTCTTAATTCTGATGGAAGCAGCAAGGGTGTACACAAAGTGTAACTACTCCATGTTGGCTTTGTTTGTAAAATAATGACATGATGTAATATGTCATGTGGTGGTCATCTGAGGTTGTATTTACCTCGTTTTAAGACCAGCTAAATTTTTATTATGATACTTAAAACGATAGAATTCAAAGAGGGTATATTTTTCCCAAGACTGTATGTGTATTGTCTTTCTACAAAAAGATTTGTAATTTTTCTAAGCCAATCTTGTGATGTGCATTTATGTGCCACAATGCACAGGCAGGCTGCTGGCAAGCTTATTTCTATGCTTAGCAATTCAACTTCTTGAGTGACCCCTCTCCCTCCAGTTAGCAGGCTGGTGATCCCAGGAGCAGTAAAGCTAGACCAGGAAGAAGTAGAGTGTTGTTCCTGGCTGTGCAGTGTGGCACAGAGAGATAAATCATTTGGCTGGCTTGTATAAATGTTGAATTTGTATTCATCTACGTTCTTATAGTTCTACCTTTAAACTTTCTTGAAAAATGACCTACAGTAATATTGCTTTTATATCATATGCCTATTATTTTGTGTTTTTATCTTTCCTGTTTAGGTGTTGCTGCAAGAGAGACTGCGTTGGCTTTGAAAACTTTGGCACAAGCAGCTAGAGGAGTTGCAGCTTCCACTAGTGACCCACAAGCTGCCAGTGACATGTTAGACTCAGCGAGAGATGTGATGGACGGGTCAGCTAATCTCATTCAGGAAGCGAAACAAGCACTTGTGGCTCCAGGGGATGCAGAGATCCAACAGAGACTTGCCCAGGTCAGTTGCATAGAAAAAAAATCAGAATGAAGTAATGTATGCTGCCCAATTCAGTAACATAAATCACTGAAAATCACTTTTCTTTCACAGACACATGTTGGTGTTATATGTTTCACTGATAAAACAAAAATTGTGTGTCTTCATTTCAGGCTGCAAAGCAACAAAATATGATTTAAAAGGGGGGGTGATTCTTTTCCATCTCCACTGTACATATGGCACCAATGGTCTAGACCCCTGGTACCCAACAGGTACCAGGGGTCTAGACCATTGGTGCCATACGTACAGTGGAGATGGAAAAGAATCAACCCCCCTTTTAAATCATATTTTGTTGCTTTGCAGCCTGAAATGAAGACACACAATTTTTGTTTTATCAGTGAAACATATAACACCAACATGTGTCTGTGAAAGAAAAGTGATTTTCAGTGATTTATGTTACTGAATTGGGCAGCATACATTACTTCATTCTGATTTTTTTTCTATGCAACTGACCTGGGCACAATACACCCCCCCCACCCCCCTTTAAAATCATATTTTGTTGCTTTGCAGCCTGAAATGAAGACACACAATTTTTGTTTTATCCAGCTGTATTTACTTGGTGCAACTTATAACATCCAAGTGAAACATATAACACCAACATGTCAGAAAAAAAATTCAAAACCAGAATTAATGAGTTGGAGAAAGGATCACCCCCTCCTAAAAATTACTTGTAAACTCAATCAGGTGTAGTTAATCACCTTCTCAATGGCACACAAAGCCATTTGACTTTCAACTGTGATGAGCAGTGATCATTTTGATTAGCACAGCATGAAAAGAGCTTTCCTGGAGCATTTCAGTCCCTGGTAGTGCAACTGAAGCAATCAATCAACTATTAGTGGCAAGGCATTATCGAAAGATCTCTGGGATAAAGTTGTGGACAGGCACAAGTCAGGAGATGCAAAAAAAATTCAAAGGCTTTATCAATGCCTAGAAGTCTATTATTAAGAACAGGAAGGTATTTGGTACAACACAGACCCTCCCTGGATTAGGACGTCACTCCTAACTGGATGAAAGAGCCAGGAGGAAACTGGTCAGAGAGGCTTCCAAGAGGCCTACAGCAAAGGAATTTATGACAGAGTGGTCATTGTGTCGCCTGACAACAATATCACAAATTCTCCACAAATGTGGCTTGTATGGGAGGGTTGCAATAAAAAAGCCACTCAAGAAAGGCCACAAGCAGTCACGACTAAGCTTTGCTAAAACGCACCTTGAAGATTCTGGGGCCGCATGGAAAAAGTTGTGATGGTCAGATGAGACTAAAATTGAAGTGTTTGGCCTCAACACCAATCGATATGTCTGGCGGAAATCCAGTACAGCTCACCATCCAAATAACACCATTCCTACAGTAAAGCACGGGGTGGTAATATCCTGTTATGTGGGTGTTTCTCTGCAGCACGAACTGGAGTATTTGTCAGGATAGAAAAAAAAATGGATGAGGCAAAATACCATCAAATTCTTCAGGAAAATCTGCTGCCCTCTGCCAGAAAGTTGTCAATGGGAAGAAGGTTTACCTTCCAACATGACAATGACCCAAAGCACACAGCAAAAATTACCACACAGTGGTTGAAGGAGAAAAAGGTGAATGTCCTTGCATGGCCTAGTCAGTGCCCAAACTTAAACCCCATTGAAAATCTGTGGAATGACTTGAAGACTGCAGTCCACAAACTGTAACCATCAAATTTAACTGAACTTGAGCAGTTCTGCAAAGAAGAGTGGACAAATATTACAAAGTCTAGATGTGCAAAGTTAGAGACATATTCCAACAGACTAAAGTCTGTAATTAAAGCAAAAGGTGGTTTAACAAAATACTAACACAAGGGGGTGATCCTTTTTCCAACTCTGTGATTTCTGTTTTTTAATTCTTTTATTATTTTCTGACATATTATATTATATATATTTCACTTGGATGTTATAAGTTGCCCTCAGTAAATACAGCTGGAAAAAAACTTAAGGTCGGTTTTGACTACCTTGTGACCTTGGTTTAATAATTTCACTGTTTTTATTAACTTTTGCATGATGCGATTTTTAGAGATCCTGGCCCTACTTTAAAAAACTTTGGCATAAATAAAGTAACAATACACAGGAAGTCTTTCACCTTTTGAGTAATACCGCTGCCTACAGGAGGGTTGGACACTGGCAAACAGAAAAACTGTAGCCCAGCCCAGGTTAACTACTCCTGCTAGTAGCATGCCTCATTTTTACTAGTGTCCTTTGATTATAGACTTCTCTACACTGCTGCTAGAGACAGTATGTCTGATTGCAGCTATCCAGACTCCATTCTGGTAAATAAGCCGTCAAGAACTTTGCAGGTCCAGGCTTTGTGAGTGAGCCAGTTGGTTAAGCATCAGGAGCTACCCTCAAGTACATAGGTCACTGAGCACCTTTAATTTCACAATTTTTGCTGGTTTGCTGGCACTAAGGAAGGGGGTTAATGCTTTGAGACTGAGCACAACGTCATCTGCTAGGTGGAGTGTCACACGCTTCATACTCTTTTCCGCAATACAGCTTTGAGGAAACCTCTCCGCGCAGCTGTTCCTACATTGCAAAGAATCACGATGAAGTTAAATCTTTGACTCATTCCTGCTGCCTGCCTACAGTGACTTTGGTCACGTCCAGCCATCCAACCCTTACCAGCTTTCTGGCTCACAGGTACTAATGAAACCTCAGGTGGCTTTAGTGCCACATGTTCACAACATATTTTATTTTAGACACTGGGGAAGAGAATGGGTAGCAGAGCTGATGCGGCGGGGGACAGTGAAGGGGCTGACAAAAGCCCAGGCACCAGGACGTCATTTCTTGACGCCATGGCGAACTGGCGTCTGGGATTTGTCGAGCCCTGCTTTAATGAATTCCAAAAAAAAAGGATTTCAAGGTGAGTACAAAAATCTTTATTTTGTGATGCTATCTTGATCCTTTTAATAATAATCTATTGTCCTCTTGAAGGTGGCCAAGGCAGTATCTCACTCGCTGAATAACTGTGTGAATTGCCTTCCTGGGCAAAAGGATGTAGACATGGCCTTAAAGAGCATTGGAGAGTCCAGCAAAAAGCTTTTGGTGGATTCGGTAAGTTTTCCCCTCAAAGAATCTTTTTCTGAATTAATGGTTGTATGTATGATTGGTACCTAATTTGTTTTTGTGTGTTCCCATAACTATGGTTTAACACTTACCGGTGAGAGTACATACCAGTTATTCACTCCTGGTGAGTTCAGGTCACTTCACCAATTCCAGGAGGATTTTGGACTTTACCCACACTATCTCCAATTTCACCAACTGAGACACGTGTTACTTATGCAATTTGGCATACAAAATGTAACGTTGACGTACCCATATTTTGAGAAACACTTTAGGCAACCAGATCAGACTAAACTAATTTCCACCTATTATTATTCTGCCCTCTTGAAAGAACACACCTTCTGATATGATAGAGCCAAGGAGAGATGGCAGAGTCAGGTGATGCCAATCTCTGAACCTAAATTGGCAGAATTTGAATCCACCTACACCACCTATTTTACTCCAGTTACCATAATCTAGGTATTCAAACCTTTATCTTGTGCTCTAGGGGCTGATTTGATACATGCACTATGGAACTGTAGATGTTAACAATTTTGATCTAAGGTGACTTTAGGTGTCCCTAATATCCTTTACCCACATAATTGTGTCCTAGGGGACCTACAGTCACATCCTTTTAACATATATTGTATTTTTTAACTAGAAAGATATTACCTAGAAAAGAAAATCTTCATCCTTGTCGGATTGGAAACTGCTTATAAATACTGCCCTGCCAATATAACAAATTGACTTTTCAACACAGGGATAAGCCTCAGTGCTATGAAAAGATATGGGGCCCCTGGCCACCCACCCCTAAGTGTTTCTGACTCGAATATGGGGGTTTAAGTTTTTTTCAAAAAACCTTGTGTTCCTTACTAGACCTACTATATACTGTACAAGCTATTTTTAATTTGCATTCCTACTTCTTGCTATGAAATAATGTATCATTTATTGGTGTTTGCTTTATGCAAAATGTATAAAGACAAAAAAACAACTAGGAACCATTCTTTGCTTACACATGTTTTCCAATTAACCAAATTCCATGGGATGATGATAACCTCAATGACAAGCAAGTAAAATATAATTTTCCCACAAAATGTTAGCCTCCGAATCATAGACTTCCAACTTTGAGGTAAATAAATGATCCTTTGGATTGGTGAGCTATAGATATGTAGACCTGGTCAGAGGGTCTTCATCTGAAATGTGTGTCTCATATATTAGAATGTGAACAGCCTTCTGTTAAATACTGTTTGGAGAAGAAAAAAAAAAAGCTCCAGTCATGTTCAGCATTTGGCAAAGAGACATCACTAAACAGGCACTATAATTGTTGTCTCAGATGATTTCCTGTCCTCCCTTTACAAGCACAGGAATGTTGTAGTTCCAGTACTGCTTGCAGAAAACATTTTTTTCATGGTAGCTACTGTGTATAATTCCATTCATTTTAAGAGACATTTTTTTTTAATTGTCCATTTAGCTTCCTCCAAGTACCAAGTCTTTCCAGGAGGCACAGAGTGAACTAAATCAGGCAGCTGAGGACCTTAACCAGTCTGCTGGAGAGGTGGTCCATGCTTCCCGTGGCCAGAGCGGGGAGCTGGCAGTCGCTTCTGGAAAATTCAGTGAAGATTTTGATGAGTTCCTCGATGCTGGTCTTGAAATGGCTGGACAGACACAGGTACCGGATGTCAGCCACCCTATGTGATTATGTCTTAGTTTAAGTTACTATTCTGTAATTTTGATTTTAGAATAGTGTAGAAATCACATCGGAGGTATTGTTTCCTTGTGCAAGCAGATGGAGTGTGCTCACGCAAAGAAAATGTTGAAAATTGAGTATATTTTATAAAGCCAATGTGGTTACAGAAGTAAAACTCTACTCTATGTATAGCCAAACTTTTTCTTTTTACTTTTGGACAGCATAAGAATCGGTTAAAACCCCTGTCATTACTTTTTTTATTCAGCAGGAACCATCGGAAATTAGAGCCATGTTTACCATAGCAGTGGTCCAAACCCATGCTGAGGGATGCAATTAGTAAAGCTCACACTCCCTGTTGTTTGTACAGCTCTGGCTCAGTGAGAGACATGTCAAACTGATGCACAGAGACTGCTCTTTATACGCAGAATCCAGCGGTCCTGCATTACAACATGCGAGTAGGGGACAGGCTTTTTTAGACTGTGTTCACACTGTTGCTGTGTAGCAACCTGCTCGTTCTTGCACCTGTTTTTTTTTGGGGGGGGGCTGCAATAAAGGTGCAAAAACACTTTATTGTACACCGTCAAAGGCTCCGGGTCCCTCAACACTGCTTCTATTGGCTTCCTGTCTGAGAGCGGTGAACAATGAGTAACGGTCACAAAGGGACATAGCATGCTCCGGCAGCTGTCCATCAATTAGCTTGGAGGCAGGAGCAGAGGAGTGGCTTGCCAAGGTGTTTTTGTTTTTATATTGATGCACATAACCAACGGAAGTGTCAACTAATGGGTGGCTCCGTAGGGCACTGCAAGAGAAAGAAGCCATCCTAAACCAGAAAGAGGGGGACAGTATTGGTCCATACAGGAAGAAGAGCAATACTAAGCAAGTCTCTAAATTGGCAATGAACTGGCTTCAAAAAGGGGAGGCTTTAATATCACTTTAAAAACATGTTTTAAGCTACATGTGTAAATCATGAAGAAAAAATCCTTGCAACTGCGTATATCTAAAACCCACAGAGACTACATTTAATTCCTTAACAATAATTAGGAACATTGTACAACAGAGAATTGCAAAGGAGAAACTGTGTGTGTGTATAATATATACACGCACACATTTATTATTTTTTTTTTTTTGTTCATTAGATGATCCTGTGACTTTTTTTTTTCTTATTTGGAACCATTGCGAAGTTCTGAAATGGATATGGTTCATTGTGTTGAATAATACATGATCCAGTAACAATGAGATCCCAGAGATAGGGCATTGCTAACTCAACTTAATAACAAAACAGGCATGTCTATCCAGGGTGTATGACAGGACAGGAATACATGCAGTAATAGCCATGGTGTTTATAGAAGCTGTTTCCACTGAGAAAGCAGTCCTGTGTCTGTCACACTCTCTTGTTCTACTTCCGGTAGACCTCTTACCTGATTGTTGTTTTATAGAATAAAGATGACCAGGTACAAGTTATAGGGAATCTGAAGACAATCTCAATGGCATCTAGCAAACTGCTTCTTGCAGCAAAATCTCTTTCTGTGGATTCTGGGGCTCCAAGTGCCAAAAATCTTCTAGCAGCAGCTGCAAGGTAGGAGAGAGGAGTCACCTTTTTGTCTGTTTCATGTCTCAGTGCTCTTTTTACTGAATTGCGCTTTTCCCTATAAATGAGAATTATCTCGTGTCACAGACCATAATTCTTTTTTTCCTTATATCATCTTTCTTTTCTCCTGTTCATGCTTTTCTCTTAAATATGCAGAACTTTCCTTTTTATCTTACAGAATGAATAAAATAATATAGGTTGTCTCTGTGTGAACAGAATACCAGCACGCACATTGTGGTTTCACAGAAATTCTTTTGTGTATTTCCAGGGCCGTGACAGAGAGCATAAACCAACTGATCACCATATGTACTCAGCAGGCTCCAGGACAGAAGGAATGCGACAATGCTCTGCGTGAGCTGGAAGTATGTTTTCTGATTTCAGACTTTGATATGCACCTAAAAACTTGGTATTTATGCGGTACCCGTATCTCACTGCCAAGTTACTACTATTAAGTTGATTTTATTATTTTTTTGGTTTGAATACATTTGATTATATATCAGATTTTATTTCACACAGATTTAATTAAACAAAAATCATTTATATCATGTTTTTTCTCTTTCAGTTGAAATTGCTTTGTGTTTTAATATGTGTTTTATCTTGTGATCTTATTTGAGTGAAGTGATTTTGAACCACAGTTGGAGACCTAGAATTAAAATGTGAAAGATATGAGGAAAATGTAGTCATTTGTAGTACTAATTGCAGATAGAACACAATTACTGCAGCAAGAAGATTCTCTAGTGTTTTTGTCATGAATGGAGTTAGGGTTAGTAAGTTGCATGTGTAAGCATTTATACCTGCTTCAGCTGTTTTGTTTTCTGAAAATATAATGCTTTTTTATTCTTTTTAGACGGTAAAGGGGATGCTGGAGAACCCCAATGAGCCAGTCAGTGATCTATCCTACTTTGACTGCATAGAGAGTGTGATGGAGAACTCTAAGGTAATATGAGGTGTACATATTACAGAGATGACAAATGTGCCAATGATAAGGTTTGAGATTTGTTCTATTACCATTCAACAGGTACTTGGAGAATCCATGGCGGGAATCTCTCAGAATGCCAAAACGGGAGACTTGCCAGCATTTGGGGAGTGCGTGAGTGTAGCATCTAAGGCATTGTGTGGTCTTACAGAGGCTGGAGCCCAGGTGAGGCTCAGAGTGCTTGTCATATGTTAAGCAGGGCTTGATTTGTACTGATTTTATAAGCAGATTCTGCAAATACAAGATTACTTCTAGTGCTTACCTAGTCCTGCAAGTCGATCATGTGCATCTGACTTAGTACAGCCAATCCTTTTGAGCTCGCCTGTGGCTCGTTTTGCACATACATGATGCAAACTCCATTTATTTTTATTGGGGGCCATTCATTTGGGCTGCCTAATGCACCAAAAAAAGTGCATCCACTATTTTGTTTAACAGCTCACCAAGCATGCTCCAGCACAGGTGCCTTGGTAAGGTGCGTTGAGGTGCCATTAAGAATGAATAGGGTGGTTGTCGGTGCTGTAGACAAGGTAAGTATTGCAGCAAAAGTTTTTTTTATTTTCCTTTTTTCCTTTTTGTTTAACACCTAAGCCATTCTATTTAGCTTTTTTTTCTCTAAACCGAAGTTCCTCCATATGTATTTTACGTTTGGCGTATATAGTTTATATTTTATACATTTGCTGGCAACAGTATATACTTTCCTTTTTTTTCACTTCCCTGCCATTCAGTGGCAAGACCTAAAAGAATTAACAGGTGCTTCTGAGAATGGGGGAGCATGTCCGGAGGAGCTGGGCCATTCAGTACAGTCATATATATTCATATCACTGGCTCTCCTTTCACTCCTGGTGGCTGAACTAGGTAGCGTGGGAGCAAAAGGAAAGTCAAGTACAGTATATGGTTCTAGGAAAGTCTGCATTAAATTGTTCCTGTTTTTCCCGGCATGGGCAAAGCACAGCTTCACTTGAAGAAGCCCTTCTGTTTGTGATTACTTTGTAAGGGGTTGTCTTATGTTAATAACAATACAATTATGTGGAATAAGAACCAGAAACTGACTTACTGTATATCATCCTGTAGGCGGCCTACCTGGTAGGTATTTCGGATCCCAATAGCCAGGCTGGTCAGCAGGGGCTTGTTGATCCTATTCAGTTTGCCAGAGCCAATCAAGCCATCCAAATGGCATGCCAGAATCTAGTTGATCCTGCCAGCAGTCCATCTCAGGTAATTGTCATTTATAAAAGCAAAAATTTGTTTTTTTATTTATTTTTGAAGAAATCAATTTACATTCTCACTACTTGCTTTAAACCATTATGTTTTAATTAGGTAAAGAACAATGAGCAATGTGGGGTAACCCATAAGAACCACTCAAGTTGTATTTTACTGATGTGATGTTAGTAAACTTAAAGCTGATTGGTTGCTACAGATTTTTGCTCTTTGCTCATAATTTTTTTATGCAATTTTAAAATCTGTTTAATGTATGGCTTTTTCAGAAAAAATACATGTCTGGTTTTGTTTGGTGTTTGTATGTATTAGCCTTGGATGTAAATTTGCATGTATAGTTTGCAAGAAATGTTTGTAACTGCAACACAGGACATTGAATTTTGTTTGTTGCTGGCTCTGTCTATGCTTGTCTGCTTGTTCTGTAGGTTCTGTCAGCTGCCACAATAGTTGCCAAACACACATCCGCACTGTGCAATGCCTGCCGAATTGCATCTTCCAAAACAGCCAATCCCGTGGCAAAGAGGCACTTTGTCCAGTCGGCCAAAGAGGTGGCGAACAGTACTGCCAATTTAGTGAAAACCATCAAGGTAATCGCACTGTGTTTGTTAAAGTACACGTCTACTCTTGTGTTTTCTATCAGGATTGTTAATCTGTAGTTCAGCAATTAGTGAATTATGCCTGATTTGTTGAATGCTCATATACTGTGTTTATATTGATTTCTGTTTAGAACAGAGCTTATAAAATTGCTAATCATAAATTTAATGGATTGAAATAATCTGAATATCTAGGTGCTAAAACCTATAGGAAACCTGTAGTGGAAGAACATGAATGACTGTCATTGTTGACCTTCTCTTAAACTAGTAGTTAGCTGGCTGCCATGTAGCTGGGGCTTTTAGCCCTAATGTGCTGGTATGTGTAGCATATTAGCACATTATGGCAGATTTGCTTGCTAAAGCAATACCCTCCAGTTCTCCCTTGCCAGCAACATCTTAATCCCCGTCTTATTCCAGGTTATGATTCTTCAGCCCTTTTATTTGCCGGGCCCTGATGATGTAATCCCACACATGGGAGTTACTTTATTTTAGCTTGCCCAGCCTGTGCACTGAGCTGGGCATGCACGAGTTCATTTTTGCCAGAGTTCATTTTTGGCAGATGAGCAGGTATTTTGCAGCCTCTTTGCATGTATGGCAGAGATGTACTTTAAATTGTTTTTTGGGGGGGGGGGGGTTTGCATTATTTTGTCTTAACATATTCTTTGTTCTCTAATATTTTCCGTGGATTACTCCTTGTTCTGGTCTTGCTATGTTCTTAGGCTGCTTTGTCTTTGAAATTGCCATTCATTTATGAATCGTTTTGCAATTCCTTGTATTTCTGTAAAGTTATTTATCCTGGTGGGGGGTTGTGTAAAGACTGCCCAAAACTGATATTTCAGTAGGCACTTATAGTTTGAAACAGTGCATTGTTTTATAAGTCTCTTGAGGAACCATCCAATTGCAATACTGAGCTGTCCCACCACCTTGCATATCCTTATAAATCTTGAAGAGCTGCTCCTGTAATATAAAAAAATGGAAGAACCTTCAGCAGGTGTAAGACGTACTTATTATAACGACAGAAATCTTGCCTCTGAAATTCCTGAGGGGTAGAAGAAGCTTCTAGGTTATTCAGCCTGACCACATCTGCTGAAACTCTAATACCAGTGATTGACCCTTCTAATACTGATGAATAAATGTTACTGTGCAAAAGTCTCATCAATTGCATGCATTCTCCTAGATACACTTACACACAGTTTTACCTCGGCAGGTAGGATGTTCAAAACATCTATGAGAAATAGCCACAGTTCTGTGGATTTGGGCTGTCTCACTTGTTTTGGGTCATTGTCCTGCTGCAGAATGAATTTGGGATTGCATTGAAAAATGGAAAAAGTATCTGCCTGTACTTTTCAGCGTTGAGACATTAATTCTGATGAAATCCCCAACTGCATGTGCAGAAATGCAGCCCCAAACCTGAAAAGGCCCTAACAAAAACACACGCAATGTTGTCTAAAGACGATCTTTGTACTCTCCAGGTCTTCTGTTAACAAGCGCTTTCTGCTCTAGCCAAATATTTCACATGTACACAGAAGTCTAGAGCACCTGCTGCTTTTTTTCTGCAAATCAGTTTTTTTTGCTGGAAGTCTAACATGTGAGCCATTTCTGATCAGACTTTTCCTGACTGTAGATGGGATGTACCAGGATCCCATTGCTTTTTCCCAAGTTTGAGCTGATGGTGCGATTGGACAGTTGATTGCGAAGGGAAGTCCACATATGTCTTTCATATGCTGCATCAAGTTTACTTGGCAAACAACTGTTTTCAGTCCTAAGCATAGCCTGTTTATTTGTCCTACTGCAGAGGAGCTTGGACAGCACATCTGGAAACGCCCATCTTAAAATTTCTGCTTCTGAGAGACCTTGTTGATGCAGTTGGACCACCCCGGGTCTTGTTACTGTGTTTCAGACTAGCCATTGTGTAGAGCATGTCATTTCCTCACCCAGTTTTATTCCTCCTACACCACTGATTATTTAACTTGTATTTAACTGAATTAATATATTTGAACCTACATGTTATCTTGTTGATCATTAGCACCTTTTTGGTATAATTGTTCAATGATTCACTGGACCATATCCTTAAGTGTGTGTGCAAGTGTATTTGGGAAAACTAATGTGGTTTTAAAGGCTAAGGGTAGACACACTAAATATTGTTTTTTCTGTTTGCACTTTGTAGGTTAATTGATAAATACTATTCATTGCATTATTTTTGGAATCATCCTGACTTTACGGCATTTTTTTCGCAAGTGCCTAACACTTTTGTATAGTAGTACATCTTGAAAGTAATGACTTGCATTACGGCTTGTGTATTGGTGGCACAAATCCTGTTGGTTTTTTAGTCAGTTTGTTGTAGAACATTTTAAAGACAGCTGTATTATTTTAGGGGTAGATAGGTCCCTAATGGTAATGGCTGTTATGGTTCTCAACATGCTTCTTTTTCCATAAATAACACCCACTGTGAACATCAAGCTTGTATGAGGTTTTTTTTCCCCTCATACTGTATGTTTTTTCCATTTTTGTCTTTTTAAAATTTACATTGTTCATTAATTTCATCATTTAGTTATTAAACCACTACATGTACAATATACTCTTCAGTTGATACTGAATGATTGTATATGGAGATGCTCCCCCCTTCAACATAAACTGTAGCAAGACATCTACCCTGCTGCTGTTTGAAGTGTTTGATGCTCTGAAGAAATCCTATTTAAATTGTGCCAGTTGCTCAGCGAATGTTTTCTGGATGTTTGTCCGTCTGTATTTTATGGCATTCGTTTTGAGAGGATTCATGTGTAATGTCGCACACGGGCGAATTTAGTTTCAGTTCAAATGTGAGGGATAAGATTTATTTTATTGGAATCTGTTATCTTGTCTGCTGATTGGTGAATCTTGTTTGGAAATTATAGGTACATTTTCTGAAAATGTTAGCCGAATCCTCACTGAAAATGGTCAAGATTTTCCCCTCACATTTCAGTTAAAATAAGGATGTACCATCTGCTGCATTATACATATACGACTAATTTTTTTTTTGTTCTGTACATTTAGTGTCATAAAATACAGATGAACGAATGTCTAACAAACATTTGCAAATAAATCCTTTAGGGCACATTAACACACATTGCGGTGACCTGCATTGGATCAACGCAGGTCACCACAAGCACACAAAGAAAACTATTATTTTCTATGTCTCTCCTTTACACCACAACTGCATTTTATCAAAGGCACTGCATGTTAACGCAGCGCACCAGACTACCGTGCAGGGACCTGAATATTGTACGCTCCACATAAGGTTAAAAAAACAAAACATTTTAACAGTGATAGTTCCAGGAGTGTGCGATACAATGCACGCTGCCGAAGCTGCCACAACACATTAGCCTGCCAGCTAAAATGGAGTGGTTTAGCGGACCGGTTAGTGTGAACAGGCCTTTCTAAATAGATAAGAAATAGATAATCCGCGCTTCTGGAAAGGAGACTAAAGTGGAAATGTATAATAAATTAAGACCTAAAGCCGCTCTAGAAAGAGGATAGAGGAATCCTATCAACAGTCGAGAAAATATATATCAAATTTCTAAATAGACCCTCAAGAGTTCCCATTGGAAATTAACAGGTTTATTCACAAAAGGGTGAAGAGTTTGGAGAAGGCAGGAGAAGTGAACAATCTAGGACAGCATAGCTGAACTGGAAAGTGAGCTGAATTGAAGAATGTTTCCATATCAGAGATTTTGGTCTAGATTGTTCACTTCTTCTGCCTTCTCCAAACTCTTCACCCTTTTGTGAATAGACAAGTAAATGTTTTTAAACAGTACCACAATACCCGAGTTGGCCAGCAGGTGGGGCTGCCCATGTAATCTGTAATTGTAGATTTCTGTCCTGAAAATACCTTGCAGGATGAGGAACCTTATACTGTCAATTCACACTGTTAAATTGCGTTAGTTCATACATGTTAATTTGTGCTTTGTTAAGGCAGCCTATTCATTTGAATGGACTGCAAAACGCACCACAAATGGTACATGTACCATTTCTGGCAACACACATCTGCCGGGAAGGTGCCATTCACAATGGCTGACACAGCATATTTCAAATCCTATATGTGCTTTTCAGTTTCTTTTGCATCTTCCTTCTGCTGGAGGTCCAAGTCCGTTCCCTGCATCACTCCTTCAGACACAGCACCCCATTGCATACCAGGCCTGCGCTGATTAGCAGGGAGGAGGATATTTTATCAGTAGTGACAACATAAGTAATAAACTTCACAGGGTGACAAACACTGCCTTGAATTCACTGCAGGCAAAAAAGTATTCTGTGCATTCTGTTTTTCCTGGGACTGGATGGGCGACCAGTTATTTCTGTACTAAAGGTGGAACTAATAAAATAACTAATTTAAAGGTGGCACTAATGTAAAAGTAGTAATGAATATATTACATGGGTTTTTCTTGATTTTGGTTGCAGTTATACATTTAACTCCTGCTCCAAAATTAACTGTCTGTGAAAGTCCTGGGGCTTCTCCCTGTTGTCTCACTAATCTGCAGCTTTTAATGTTCTACTTTTTCTGACCATTTGCTTTATAACTTTACAACACAAACTCACAGCTCCTTTCGGCTGTCTCAGCATTAATTTAGTAGAATCACTGTATTCGTGGTTTCTATAGCAATCTATGGTTAATGAAACTGAGAAGCATTTATGATAATTTGTTTTATGGATTTACAGTAATCATTAGCGTAGGTTCATTTCCATAGCAATTTAACTGTATTATTCACTTGGTGGTTGTCTATTTTTTTTCCCCCCCTCTCCTCCCAGACCTTAGACGGAGATTTTTCAGATGAAAATCGTCAGAAATGCTGCACAGCCACTGCTCCTCTCATTTCAGCTGTGGAGAACTTGACTGCTTTTGCATCCAACCCTGAATTTGCCAGTATTGCTGCACAAATCAGTGCAGAGGTGAGAAGCTGCTTGATATTCTGTTCAATGGCCTTATATTATCCATCTGGAAGCCTATATCGGTTCTTTCATTTATTTATAGATCTAACTATCATACCTCTGATTGTTTTGCTCACATATTGGCTACTAACTGTGAAAATGGGAATGTAGATTACAGTGACACTAAGCTCAGGAGTTAAATCTTAAAAATGTATTCAAGTACCTTAACTATTAACAAAGATCTAGCTGTGTGTTGTAAAGTAGCCACCTGTCCAAGCTCACTCCCATGATGGACTACAATTGCATGTTTGGTTTACTAATTTGTATGGAGATTGTAGTCCATCACAGGAGTGAGCTTGGAGTGGTGACTTCTGTACAACACACACAGGGACCATGGGGAACAGAAATAGCCACCCTCCAGTGTCTGCACCAGTAGCCACCCTCCAGTGTAGGACAGTGTCGGCACTAATTCAGAGAGAATTTGAGGATTTACAACTGAGTGATACACATTTTTGTGATTTAGTAAAGGTACTTGAATGCATTTTTAGTGTCACTTTAACATTCCTGCTGCATGGAGGATCATGCAGGGAAACATCATTCTACATAGTGTGGATGGGAAGGGATTTAATATTAGGAATAGATTACATGTGGAATGTAATAATAGGCATCAGTAATGCAAGCTCAGCTCTAAACAGCTGTGTGGATTGGCTTTTCAGGTCCTTTGTGCAAATGTTATCCCAAACCTCTTTGAGCACAAAAAAATGTGTTTGCCTTGCAATGAACTATGTCTAGGAGAATATTTTATTTTTGTCCTGCCTGTGATAAACCGTGCTCCTTTATTGTAACATATCGTTCACTTTATTCAGAGAAACTAGTATCAGAACCTGATGGATTGAAAAATGCATTCTCCCTATTGGTATAACTATATTGTTTAATTATTTATGCAATATTGTTCATTGCAGGGGTCCAATGCTCAGGAACCCATCTTAGTATCTGCTGTCACTATGCTGGAGAGCTCATCATCACTTATAAAGACAGCGCGTTCTTTAGCTATCAATCCTAAGGATCCACCAACATGGTCAAGCCTGGCTGGTCACTCGCGTGTTGTGTCTGACTCAATCAAGAGCTTGATAACATCCATCAGGTATGGAAAGAACACGAGACAGTAAAAAGTGGATTTTTGTTTGTAACAGTGTTTATTTAGTCGGTTAAAAATTGTATTTTAGTTTGTCGTATTTTAGTCATCTGAATTTTGTTAGTTTTAGTCTAGTTTTGTGGACTAGATCTCCAGTAGAGAAAATTGCAATGCATTTCCGTCATAGTTTTAGTGTTGTTTACTTAGTTTTTATTTTTCATTTAGCTTTCGTCAATGAAAACATGCAGCTGACGAAAACTGTGACACATTTTTAGTCTATGAAACTAACACTGGTTTGTAGCCATAGTACTTCAGGGGACTGCTAAATTGTTCTGCCCCATCCATGACAATTTTATATAGGTGACTCCATATTTGTAGTTATTATTGTAGTAGAGTATTGTAACGTTTTAGCCATCGATTAGTGCAGAAAGTGCGACGTTTAAGTGGTACCCTTGGCTAGCCTAAGTTATTAAAGATGCAAGCTTTCAGGATTCCTTGGATCCCTTGCAGAAAAGCCTGAGGAAGGGATCTAAGGAATTCCTAAGGCTTGCATCTCTAATAACTTAAATTAACGAATAAAGGGTATCACCTAAATGCCACACTTTCTGTTGTCTTCTATCATACTACTATTATAGGAATCCACCCTTGTGCTGTAAAATATCACTGCACACTCTGTTTTTTTTTTAACCATTGTCCTGAATCTTTTGGATGTTTATACAGTTTTTTTAAAAGCAAATTTTATAGGCCTTTTTAAGAATATTTTGTGTTTTGGCTGTTTCACAGTTTTCCTTATTATTGCCTTTGTCTGTATTGTGAAGGAAGCTTTTCTAGGAACAGAGGATGTAAATATTAAACCTTTCTATTGTTGATCCTTTTTAATTGTCTTCCATCATGGCAACAGGAGAATAAAACCTTCAGATGACTAGATATAAAGCTGGAATATTTCAATGCTTTATCATAAAAGCCCAACAGAATCACACTGGTATTTCACTTTGATTTCTCTCAATGTAGGGACAAAGCACCAGGACAGAGGGAATGTGACCAGTCCATTGATAGCATCAACCGATGTATTCGTGATATTGAACAGGCATCTCTTGCTAGTGTCAGTCAGAACCTGGCTATGAGAGATGATATATCACTAGAGGTAAGAGTCGCACAAAATTCTTCTTGTCACACTTATTAGATGAAAGCACTAGCAGTTTTTAGATATTACTATAGTCAGTAAGATAGTTTAGATGATGTACTTCTATATTAAACAAAAAGTTTTATAGTTATACATTATACAAGTTATAGTTTTCAAAACGTGTTCTAGGCAGGTAATCTGATTTAGAATAAGGTAGCAATTAGTAAGTGCCATTATGCTTTATTTTTATACAGATTTAATTTTCAGACTGTTATTTTCACACAAATCCTTATAATTAATGGGCCAATCTGCTCTGGGGTACCTGAATGTTATTTTTTATAGAAATATTTAAAAAAAGTGAGAATGTGCTGAAAAGCTCTCAGCACTCTGTATGACCTGGTTTTGCATGTGCAAAAATGCTTTCAGAAGAGACCGGTATTACATTAGTGCAGCTTCACAGTGTAAGAAACCCTCTATAACTGTGTTAAAATGATGACTTCTGAAAAGCTTATTACATTAGAACATGTTAAAGTAGTATTACACTCAAACTGTTTTTCAATAATGAGTCCACTTCAAACAAATATACATTGCCCAGCAAAGTATTCCTTTAACTTTTTGCCCAACCACTTATCACTTATCACTCATGTTTCTGAACATCTTGTTCCAAATATCTCAGCTCAGTTTCCCTGAACTTCCTGTCCAGTACAAGATCACAAGGTACAGAGCAGGCTTCAGCAACTGTTTATCTATTAGTTTGGAGGAGGGAAGAGAGGGGTCCAAGGGGGAGGGAAGTAGATTGATTTGCTGTGTCTGTGTGTTTGTAGAGACGCACACAGCTTATTAGTATACACCTCTTACTATCCCTCTGCTTGAGAAAGAAGGCACTCTAAAACAGGAAGGCAGGACCAGTGCTCAGGAGACCAGCTGAATCTGCAGTAAACTAAAACTTTTAAAACATCAAGGAGCAGCATCCATTGTGAGTGATTTCATCAGCATTTGAAATAGCTTAAAATCCTTTTGACTTTAATATAACTTTAAGACATATCCCTCAAAATAAAAAAACATTATAATTAATGGAATATAAAGGTGAAAGATAAAATACATGCAGCAATAATAGAAACCTTGCTTGTCAATTTGTATTTAACCATGTATTTCCCTCCACATTTAATATTTGACACAGCTGCCATAGATTGCTTTTCTTAGTGACTGCTCAGGTCTGTGGGAAATGCAGTATTTGAAAATTACAATTCTACCTGCTGCATCTTTTGGGACCATGTGCATTTAGCCATGTAGACATGGTCAGGATCTGCTGAATTTCAAACCGAGCATCAGTATGGGGAAGAAAGGTGATTTACGTGACTTTGAACTTGGCATGGTTGTTGGTGCCAGAAGGGCTGGTCTGAGTATTTCGGAAACTGCTGATCTGCTGGGATTTTCATGCACAGCCATCTGCAGGGTTTACTAAGAATCGGCTGAAAAAGAGAAAATATCCAGTAAGTGGCGGCTCTCTGGGTGAAAATACCTTGTTGATGTCAGAGGAGAATGGCCAGACTAGGTCAAGCGGATAGAAAGGCAATAGTAGCTCAACTAACCACTTGTTACAACCAAGGTATGCAGAAGAGCTTCTCTGAACGCACAACACATGGAACCTTGAAGCAGATGGGCTACAGCAGCAGAATACGACACCAGGTGCCACTCCTGTCAGCTAAGAGCATGAAACTAAGGGTAAAATTCCCAAGGACTCGACAAAATTGTACAATTTCAGATTGGAGAAACATTGCCTGGGCTGAGGAGTATGAATTTCTGCTGCAACATTCAGATGGTTGGGTCTGAATTTGACATAAACAACACTAAAGCATGGATCCATCCTGCCTTGTGTCAATGGTTCAGGCTGGCAGTGGTGGTATAATTGTGTGGGGGATATTTTCTTGGCACACTTGGGCCCCTTAGCACTAATTGAGCATCATTTAAATGCCACAGCCTACCTGAGCATTGTTGCTGACCATGTCCATCCTTTTAAGGTTCTCATTCATCCAGGTCATGGTATATCTGTAAAAAAAACAAAAATAAGTCAAGGTAAGTGGACTTGCTGTATGTTTCTTGAAGATTTTTCACTTGCCATCCAAGCAGCTTTCTCAATTCAGAAGGACTTGTACTAAAACATTATCTGGGAATAAATATGGTGAATGTTGCTCCAATCCACACAATCTGTTAGTCACAACCAAGTGTTGATCACATCTGCATAATTGGAGTCTAGGAGGTGTTATTAACCTGCCCAGAGAGAGGTGTTAAAACAGCATTGTATGTGGCAGACAATAGATGCCTCAACCCCCTCCTCTATTGTAAGCCCTCACGGGGAGGGCCTTCCTTACCATCTTGTCTTGAATTGTATTGTGACTGTAATGTCTTCCTTATATTGTAAAATGCTGTGCAAACTATTGGCGCTATATAAATCCTGTATAATAATAATAATCATCACAATCCCCCCCAACTCCTAATTTTTTTTTTGTACAAGTCATTCTGAATTGAGAAAGCTGGTTGGATGACCAGTGAAACGTCTTTAAGAAAAATACAGCAAGTCCAGTTGCCTTGACTAATTTTTTTTTTACAGATATTCTTTATGACTACAGTGTACCCATCTTCTGATGGCTACTTCCAGCAGGATAATGCACCATGTCACAAAGCTCACATCATCTCAAACTGGTTTCTTGAACATAATGAGTTCACTGTACTGAATCGGCCTTTACAGTCACCAGATGTCAATCCAATATAGCACCTTTGGGATCTGGTGGAACGGGAGATTGGCCTCATGGATGTGTAACCAACAAATCTGCAGCAACTGTGTGATGATATCATGTACATATGGACCATACTCTCTAAGGAATGTTTTCAGCACCTTGTTGAATCTATGCCACAAAGAATGAAGTTCTGATGACAAAATGGGGTCCAACCTGGTACTAGCAAGGTGTACCTAATAAAGTGTCCAGTGAATGTATCTTGAAATGTAAAGCTTTTTGGCAACCACCCTGCAATTGTTTTCTTCTGTCCTGCTGTGATGTGGAGATGTGCACTGTTAGGTGTATTCTCTCCAAAGGACTCTTTTCTGATGTAATGAGGGTGTAAAGGGCAACATAATGAGAGGACATCGCTTTCTTCTTTTGTTCCTTCACATGATCTTCCATTCTTTTACATGCATTAAACAAATAGAAACGCAATCAAATACTAATGGCAAGTCTAGTTTTTGCATCCTATCATTACATTTTAAGATGTAATCTGCAGGTGAATGTTACCTAACTGCGTGATTTGAACTCTTCTGTGATAATCTTTTATACATATAAATTAAGGTGTAGTTTGTTGGTAATGTACATTTTGTAGGTTTTACTTTCATGTGCTCGGCTTCCCACCATTAAGTACAATTGCATTGTCTTAGAATTCACTCTGCCTTTTTTATATTTTTAATGCTTTAGGCTCTCCAAGATCAACTTACATCTGTAGTTCAAGAGATTGGTCACCTTATTGATCCAACTACCACAGCTGCACGAGGAGAAGCTGCTCAGCTCGGGCACAAGGTATATATATTAGTGGCATTCCCTGGTCCATCAAAGCTTTGCAAGTAAATTAAACAACTCGAGTTACACTGTGCAACCCAGTTTAAAAAGATATTTGGGAAATACTATGAGGTAGTGACAGACGTTACAGAGGAAAAAGCCAGTAACTCTGCTTTCTGTGAAAATTATGAATTATACAGAAGTATTTTTTTCTCCTCATCCATTGAAAGACACAGGACATCTTAAACCTTTAGTGATATACTGCTTCCTACAGAAGGACTGAACACTGACAAACAAACTGTAGGTGAGCCCAGGGTAGGTGTTTTCCACCATCTCGCAGCTATGTGGTGTGGTTTTCCTCAGCCTTTGAAATTGTGCTGCCTCTGGACTCCGCTGTTCAATGGGGAGAGGGAAAACCTGGAAATTAGCGTTGGGCTTGTAGCTTGGAATGGGCACTTTCCAGACACAGTTCTTGTTAAGTTAGCTGTGGAACGCTTTCCAAGTCCCTTTTGAGTTTGGCACGGGGAGCTCCCTCATTATTATTTGATGCTGGGCACCATTATTCCTCATTTCCCGCTGGCTTTGCCAGACACAGGGAACACAGTCCTGCAGTGTTGGGTGCCCTATCACATTCTCCACCAGCAGGTCAGGGACTGATTGTAGAGCACCACCTGATAGTGGCGATGGCTGTAGCCTTCGGGGATGACCTCTTTGGCTCTATCAAGTGTGGCTGGGTCCTCTGCCCTTATGGCTGAGGGTTTGACTTATGACCCAAATTACCCAGTTCGGAAACCCCCTAATCGGCTGTTTGCTTCTCTTAAGCACTTGCTATCTCTACCCATTTAGTACGTTTTTGTTCAAAAGTAGTCTTTCCATTGTGGTTCCTGCTGTGTTCAGCCGCCTTGTTTCCTACATTTGTCTGTTGGCAGTGCACATGTGTTTGGTCCTTTCGCTAAACTGCTGGACTGTGGAACTGTCTTGCAAGAAAAATTTGATCTGCATTTTGATGGATAACTTCTTATTGGACCAGCTCTGGACACTGTTACTAAAGTTGCTCCTGTGGGGAAAAGCAGCCATCTGGATGCCTGTGTGCAAAAGGTGGTGTATTAGGACTGCAAACTCTAACTATTTTTTCCCTGCGTTCTCAGTTGCAAACGTAAAAGCTTAATGTCTCCTCTCAGTGACTTGTGGATCTCCTTGGGGCACTCTCTGGACTTCAGGACCAATGGGGTCATTCGGTATGAGGGTCTCCTTCCTTCTTTCCCTTTAAATTATTATTGAGAGGGTTGCTTTATTTTGCATCTGCCTTTCCCTGCATTCAAGATTTAAGCGTATTCTTCTTCAACCTCCAGCTGTTCATTAGTTGTTTTTGGTTGAGACATACTTTGTCTGACGTTACTTTCCTAAGGTCAATGATTACCTATCCTAGGTTCCAGCTTTTACCTTACAAACATTCTTGTTTTTATTGACCTGTTTTGCTGTAGGTCTAAATTTTCCTCCACCTGTTGTTTTTTTCTCAATGGTGGTTGCTGCTTTGCCCTTTGTATACCATTTTTTTTTTTTTTTTTGCATCTTTCCTTATGAATTTTTATATTGCTGCCTTGTTTTTTACTGGCCAATTTTTCCTTCAGATATTCTTCTAGTAAGTGTCCACATCCATTGGATCTCTCAGTGGCTGTTTCCCATCCCTCAGTTTGACTGCTTATGTACATAATCTATGATTACTATAGCCTTGTGTCTCTTAATAGGTGATGCATTTAAAAAAAAAGGGGTTTTTGTACTGTTCCACACCTTTTGTGTCTTGGCCTTATGTACTGCTTGCTCACAAAACTGAGGCATGATGGCTAAGGGTGGAGTTAAGAGAGGACTGGCTATCGTTTTTCTCGGTTTGCCTAAGCCCACCTCCTGAAGGAAGCATATAACCCACAAATCTGATTTACTATATGTATGTGCTCCTCAATGGACTCAAATAAAATATTTCTATGCGGTAAATACCTGTATACCCATTAAGTACCATAAGGGGTATACAGGTGCCTGAATACCTTCAGAGTATGGACTGACTTCTTTTTTCTAAAAATAATAATAAGAATTTAACAGCATGGATGTGCTTACTAATTGGAGGACATTCTTGATTTCTTTGTGTTTACACAGGTCACTCAACTTGCCCGCTACTTTGAACCTCTGATACAAGCTGCTGTTGGTCTGGTTTCCAAAATTCTTGACCATCAGCAGCAGATGACTGTGCTGGATCAAACCAAGACACTGGCAGAGTCTGCATTACAGATGCTCTATGCTGCTAAGGAAGGTGGAGGTAATCCAAAGGTATGGGTTATGTATTGCTAGCGTGAACAGTCACTATGCTTTTGTGCTAGTGCATAAGCAACTGGTTAAAATTACATAGTTCTGTAGATTTTCATGCAAGTCGTTTGTGCTCTTAAGTTGTCTACTAATTGGTACACATTAAAAAATAGATTTTTTTTCTAGTTCTTGATCATCTCAGACTGCAAAAGGAGGAGGGAAATTGAAAAGCAGCTAGAATGTTAAGTGCTTTGATTATTCACATTTGTAAGTAGCCATGGAAGCTAATCACAGCTTTTACAGCTTAACATATATAAGCATGGCAGTTAAAAAGAGCAACGGATTCAGCAATTCATAGCAGTCAATGAGCAAATCGTGCAGGATCACTTCGCGAGCAGTCTTTACATTTCCAACCATCATTTCAAGTGGAATCTTTATAATGGATTCAATCAATAAACTTAGGCAATAAAGACATTTTAAAAAGTTTAGTGTTGATAAAATATGGGCAATGATTTAAAATGTACTTTTTAATTATTTTTTTTAGAATCTATCGAACGTAAACAATCAGTACTCCTATACATTTTAAAAGCTATGTTTGCATGATTTAAGTTTAAATATAGCAGAAGTGTGTAGTGTTATTTAAAATTAACTTCAGAAATATTTACATGCATAAAGTTTATGCTGGGGTTTTTTTTCATATTTTATTTTGACGAAAGCTGAAGTATTACTTTTTCACACATGTATATTGTATAATGGGTTTACAATAAATTATGATCGGAGCTTTTACACATGTCCATTTTCTACAGGCATCGCACACGCATGATGCAATTGCAGAGGCAGCCCTGCTAATGAAAGAGGCAGTGGATGACCTCATGATTACCTTGAATGAGGCTGCCAGTGAAGTAGGCATGGTCGGAGGCATGATAGATTCCATTGCAGATGCCATGAGCAAGGCGAGTTTTCACATTAGGAAAAATAACTTGAATCACCCAATCAAAATCAGTGTTATACAGACAAGTTAGAAAACATATTTTTATGTATTTTAGGGTAACTGAGCTAATTCTAATTCTCATATTACTTTTATTCCTAATAACATAATATATTTCCACAGGCCAATGATCTATCTAGATCCATAATCCACTGTGGTAATCTGTATAATGTTTTTGGTTTTGAACTATTGCGTATGTAGTGTCTCGTATAATAAGGCAATTAAAAGGATGCATATTTCCACTGCTTTTTAGATGTTCCTAGAAAGGAACCTGTATCATGTAAAATATTCCAGCATGTATACAGTTAATGGACTGCGTTCTTAAGTAACTTATTTATTCATTATCCTTTTTACAGTTGGATGAGGGCACGCCACCAGAACCCACAGGAACATTTGTGGACTACCAGACCACAGGTGTCAAATACTCCAAAGCTATTGCAGTAACCGCACAAGAGATGGTAAGAATGAATAGTGCAACTACTTTTAAGGTGGTGTTTTCTTTGGTAGTGTTGGAAGTGATCTCTTTCTAAGTCACTTACATGTTTCTGTGGTGGTAATATGCACATTCTTGCCACTATATGCAATGAAAACGTTCTTAGAAGTCTGCTGCGCAAGTGTGTGACATGGGTGCTGTCATAAACGGAGGGCTATAATCTCGCACAGAAGGGAGGTGCTGGCCTAAGCCTGAGGTATCCTGCAATATAGTGGCACCGATTGCAGCAGAGCTCTAAATGTAAATGCATTTTGTGCTTACATGAAAAAATGACAAGGATGTTTCTTTTGTTCATTTGGTGTATGTCCACTGCACAATTCATTTAAATTTGGCTAGCACTATTTAGTTCCGCTAGAATTTAAGTCCTGGGGGAATGACGTCTAGACAGTTTGGAAGTGAATATAGAAGTAGTGGTCACAAAGGGGGTCCAAGTCTCATGTGCTACTGATATTTGTTTTGTTTTCAGATGACCAAATCTGTCACAAACCCAGAAGAGCTTGGTGGTCTTGCATCACAAGTAACCAGTGACTATGGAAATCTTGCTGTCCAAGGTCGCATGGCAGCAGCCACAGCTGAGCCCAAAGAGGTGAGAACTTGGGATTTACACTATGCAGAGTAATAGAAACCTGTATATTAAAGGAGGTTTGTAGACCGCATGTAATGGCACTCTCTGGAGCTTTTGTGGTCAGAAATGTTTCCTTATAGATTGCTTGCTGCCTGCTCATTTCAGGTTCTTGCTTTCAGTTCACAAAAGCAAAACGCAGAACACTGCTGTGTAGAATATAGAGGATATTTTTAAAAATTGTACTGAAGCTGCAACATACTCCAAACTTGCTTTTGGTATTGTTAGAAAAAAAACTGCGCTAGGAATCAAATAATACTCTAAGAGCAGCTGTGCTTAATAGGTGAGTACACCCAACATACTCACAATATATTCCTAATATGTGAGAAAAATAGTATGAAATGTGAAATTGTCACAAAGTGATAAACAATTTTGGGGAAAAAAACTCTTTGTCTAATGGTCTAGACACTATAAACCATAATAAACATAGAAAAAAAACAAAAGCTGCTAGTACATCTCATAAAGTGTGTACAAATCCTGTGTTAAAGCTTACAATTGATGTACAACTCCTTCTCAATCTACATAACCATATGTGAAGTCCATTACTTCTGGATACAATAAAGTCCTTGAAATATGTGATGATGTATCTTCCAAATTTTATAATCAACACCACGTCCGTGAATGCATAAACAATTAGTGAATCAGTGCGCTCCAGTCTCCACCATGCTCAAAGACAAGATCTGGCCGCACTCACCAACTCCTATTGCTCACCATATTTCAGATGAACAATTAGCGCTTTGTTGATGTATATAGCATCAAATCTTCTCCTTTGTTTTTAATCTGACAATAAATTGGGGTAGATTCCTCCCAACTCTGGCTTATCTTTCCAAAATCATGTAACACTATTCCTCCATCTTCCACCTTCTCTTGTGCTCAGAGAGAGAAAAAAAGGCTTCCCATAGTGTAGTATGTCAGAATAAATTTATTTAAAACGATTAAAATGCACTTACAATTAAAATAAGGCAATTGCACATGGAGCTAGTGTCCACTGGAGCTCCTGTCTCTATGATTGTACAATTGTAGAGACAGGCATTGCTGTAGTGCACCAGTCACCTAATTCTGTCTTGTTAGTAATCTGGTGAACCTGGAATGCTTCTGCTTTTGGTGCAGACACCCCCTCCTTGCTGCCTCTATCATAGAGACAGGCATTGCTGTAGTGCACCAGTCACCTAATTCTGTCTTGTTAGTAATCTGGTGAACCTGGAATGCTTCTGCTTTTGGTGCAGACACCCCCTCCTTGCTGCCTCTAACAATATTTAAAACCAGCTGGGCGGATGATGCTCAGATGTTTCAAACAGCCACCAATGACATTCTAACTTCTTTGTGATGCAAGAAGTAGAGTGTAATGATTACAGGCTTTAGGAAGTAAATACACTTTTTATTTAATTTTTTTCTAGGGCTGGTTCTGAATAAAATGTTCGTGTTCGATTAATCGAAATTTTTTTAAATCGGTTAATTTCGATTAATTATAACGCACATACAGATCCAACTACATTGGCCTATACAGTACGGCAATGAAGTAATAAAATGAACTAGGATCACACTAATCCAGCACTTTATTAATCTCACGTGCCCCACTCAATATGGAAGACCCGGAAGCCGGCGGAGAGGTGAGTGTTTTCATTATTGATCAAAATAATTGTAATTGATCAAAAATTTTAACGATTAATCGGGTAATTAATCGTTAATTTCTACAGCCCTTTTTTTTTCACCTGCAGAGTGAATGATAAAATATAACAGATTTCTCCATCTACTCTAAAGAGCGTGGATGGACAAATCTCCTACTGTGTGCTTTGTAGTCTTAAAGCACTGGCCACTGATTGGCTGCATGCAGCATTCAGCCGAGGATTTGCCAACATGATTGGCATAAGTCGATCTAATGATTGACTTCTGTCGAGGGGATAGAGTCACCAACAGATTGAATTTCGTTGATGGGGTTGCCAACAGATCGAATTTCACTGTGTGTACCATGCTTAACATTTCATATGTTGGCACACTTGCAGTGTGTTGGAATTATTACTTCACTGATAAGTTTCAGTTTGTATTTTTACATTAATCCTCACTAGTACATTTTATATGTATGGGGTTTTAAGGTCTTTCAGAATAATTGGATGAGCTAGCTTTTTGTTTACATTTTTTTTATTAATAGGGAATTGTATTTCCTCTTTCCAGGTTAGTAACCAAATTAAAACAAGGATCCAGGATTTAGGACATGGCTGTATATTTTTGGTGCAGAAAGCTGGAGCATTACAGATTTGTCCAACTGACAGTTACACTAAACGGGAATTAATTGAATGTGCCCGGGCTGTGACAGAAAAGGTAAATGACAGTAGTTTTTATCCGATGTCTTATCGTAACTTGGGACCATATACCTGTAATCAGACAATTTTTTAAAATATGTTTTAATATGTTACGATTCCTTACAGCGCCTTAAAAAAAGACTCCTTCTGTATTGATAAATAACTCTAAATATATCTATCCCATGCACAGCTGTGATGATATTTTGTTAGTTAAATTTTCTAACAGAGAGAAATCTTCAGAGATGATAAAATCGATGATGTAATCAATTAAATCAACTGATTAAAAGTGCAGGTCTTTTGTAAACCTAAACTAATATACTTGAAAATAATTCTGTATAATTTGTATTGTATATATTCATCATCATGAAAGGTTTTAACCCCTTCATGACTGAGGCCCTTTTTTCCATTTTTGCACCCTTGTTATATTCCAAGATAGTTTACAGAAACATCTTGAATTAACTATGGGTTTTTTGGGTTTTTTTTTTTTTTAAGTTGAAGCACCAGTATCTTTGTATCAAATACAGGGCCATGTTTATTATGCACTTTATTTCTTTATTTTGATTGGTCAGACCAGGAAGTATGTACAAGTATGTTAAAATATATTCTTCTCTATGGCAAATATTTATTTATGGTGAATTATGGGGAGTTCTTAGACTTTATTAGTGAAAAGCCTTGTTAGCAATATGTCTCATATGCCTACAGCTCTACCTATATTTCTTTGCATTTAGGTTTCCCTGGTTCTAACTGCTTTTCAAGCAGGTAACAAGGGGACACAGGCCTGCATTACTGCAGCCAGTTCAGTATCTGGTATAATTGCTGATCTGGATACCACCATCATGTTTGCCACTGCTGGCACACTCAACTCAGAAAACAAGGAATCCTTTGCTGACCACAGGTGAGTAAAATCAGAGCTGTACATCATACATGAACACAGTGATCAAATGAACAGAACATAATTAGACAGACAGTATAGGTGAGATGGTATTTAGTTTTCAGTTTGACATTCATCGGCATATACATAGAAGCTGTGTGGGGGAAAAATGTTTCTTGACCTTACCAACTTAAGCATATTTTTATATTTGCTTCCCTTTTTATGAATTAACTGCATCATATATGATTCAATTATTTTTTTCTGCACAGGGAAAACATCCTTAAGACAGCCAAAGCTCTTGTAGAAGACACCAAGCTACTGGTTTCAGGTGCTGCATCTAGTCAGGACAAGCTGGCACAGGCTGCCCAGTCATCTGCTAACACTATTACACAACTGGCAGAGGTGGTGAAGTTGGGTGCAGCCAGCCTAGGATCTGATGATCCTGAAACCCAGGTGAGAAAATGTTCTTGGAAAAGGGCTTTGTTTTCCTTAGAGCCTCAGAAATTTAGCTCTTTAGGACTCTGACTTCTTACCTTTGCTCTCCTTTCTACGCCCTTCAGCTCTATATCTATCTTCAAATAAGACGTCCGGGCTTGGAAACGATATTCCAAATGAACACGGAAAACTGTCGGGTATAGTCGTTTGACATGCTTGGCCCGTGTGTACCTCCTTTCCTTTTCCCCTTGTTGCTGTTCAAAGCCCTGTAAGCTCTGGAGAATCATGAGACTCCATGACACTGCCAAGCATAAACAGACACTTGCTTTTCATGGTTTCCACCAGCAAAATCCTTTATAACGTTTTACCTGTTTTGCTTCTAACTTCACTTAGCATCTCACAAAATAAAACATCAATACTGTATTCACTTAATTGCAACAGTAGTTCATCCTTTAACAAAGTTATATATCAAAGATTTTTACTCCACAAAGTGGACTTGGTAATCTATATCATCAAATCGTGTGTGTCTATGTGTTTGTCTGTCTATAGATATAGATGAGTCCAGAATGTTTCACTCCCTGCCTCTTCCTCACTTCTGTCGCACTTGCCAAAATCTCCTCAAAGACTGACAGATCTTTTCAGTGCCCTGGATTAGCTCCTTTGTCGGGGTCATAGTCTTTGTGCCAGAGGCAGACATATTACAGGGATTCTACTCCAATTTTTTAGCTGTCCCCAAAGCAAAGGGGGGTTTCTAACGTGTTTTCGATCTAAACAGTCTCAATGCGTTCCTGCACATCCAAAAGTTCTGTATGAAATTTGCCTGATCTGTGGTTGCCTCCCATCACCCTGGAGACTTTCTAGAATCATTGGACATCAAGAATGCACATTTCAACATCCCCCTTTTTTCCTGCCCATCAACGCCACCTGCGTTTTGCTGTGAACACACACCAATGTGTTGCCCTTCATTCGTCCTGTCCACTGTGCCTTGGGTCTTCACCAATGTGCTAGCCCCTGGTTTGGCTCTGCTTCGGTCTCAAAGGATCCCTATAGTGGGGTATTTGGAGGACCTTCTCCTCAGTGAGCTTTGAATGGGTCCCGAATCTCCAGGAGTCAACACTTGAACTTTCTTATTACTTTCTCAGTTCCTCTAATCCTACCTTGTGGTCCAGGGGTCACTCTCTTGGCACGTCTGGATCGTGTAGACCTCCTGTCTCCAGGACCGGCATTCCAACCTGCTTCTTGGCCTCTGATGTCAACAGCTTGGCTGTTGAAGCCCAGATCCTTAAAGACAGAGGGCCTTTCGAACAAAGTCATCCCTACGCGCCTGAAATCTAGGAAGTCTACCTTCCATAAGGTCTACCATCGCACATGCAAGGCATATTTTGCTTACTTCAAAGCCAGGAAATTTCATCCTAGGAAATACTCCGAGACATAGCAATTCATCCGATCTCGCCTGGACCAGCACCTAACCTTAAGCTCAGTCAGGGGTCAAATTTCGGCCTTGATTTAGTTTTATTTTTTCCAGAGACCACTTGCCTCTTACTCTCTAGTGAAGGCCTGTGCTCAGGGGGTTGCTCTTGTTGTCCCCCTCGCTCTGGTGATTCTTTGGAACCTTAGCTTAGTTCTGTCAGCTCTAGCAGAAGCTGCCCTTAAGCCTCCAGAGATATGCATTTGACCATGCTTACTTGCAAAGTTACCTTCCTTGTCCATATCACTTCTGCCAGGCGTGTTTCTTAATTGGCTGCCTTGACCTGTAAAGAGCCATTTCTGGTTATCCACAGAGATAATGCTGAGGTCTGGGGACTCCTTTCTTCCTAAGGGGGTACTTACTGCAAAGGCATCCAATCAGAATAGATAAACAATGTCCCCAGCTTTGTTTGGAATACAGTGATATCACAGATCTTTGTGCCATTACACAGTATGTCAAGTTGCACAAAAACAATGTATATTCCTTTCCGTGTATATACATAAACCTTTCTATTTGATTAAGGTTAAAATTTCTACAGCAATAAAAATCAGACTCTTTTTCACGTGGTGAAACTGCAGTCTCCTACAGGAGGCACTTCTGCTAACCCTTCTAAAATAGTACAGGTGAAACTCGAATAATTAGAATATCGTGCAAAGTTCATTTATTTCACTAATGCAACTTAAAAGGTGACACTAATATATGAGAGAGACTCATTACATGCAAAGCAAGATAATTCAAGCTGTGATTTGTCATAATTGTGATGATTATGGCTTACAGCTCATGAAAACCTCAAGAACCCCAAATCCACAACCTCAAAAAAGTAGAATATTACATGCAATCAATAAAACAAGGATTGTACATAGAACAATATCGGACCTCTGAAAAGTACAAGCATGCATATGTACTCAGTACTTGGTTTTGGCCCCTTTTGCAGCACTTACTGCAATTACTTTTGCACGATATTCTAATTATTCGAGTTTCACCTGTAGATGTGTTTCGTGCTCACTTGACCGCCTCTACAACAATTCATCCGTGTTTGACCCCGCTAAAGCGGATGCTCTGTTTTGAGATCTCCAGTTTTCCGGTCTCTCTGACTCGTTCCACGATAAATTGGATTCTGACATTACGGAGAGCGAGGTCCTCTCGGGTATCTCTTCTCTAAAATCTAACAAATCCCAGAGGCCCCGATGGCTTTTACAATCTCTCTATTATAGGAAATTCAAACATATTCTGGCCCCATATCTAACCCTCTTATTTAATGCTTTAAAATCTCAACATGCTCTCCACCCCTCCTGCGTAGATGCTAACATTGCTATGATCCCTAAACCTGGAAAGGATGCAACGTACATCGCAAACTATTGCCCAATGTCATTACTGAATACAGATGTGAAACTACTAACTAAAATACTGGCCTTTAGAACCAATGAGTTCCTCTGCTCTCTTATTCACAGGGATCAGGTAGGATTCACTCCACTCCGTCAAGCTGGGGATAATGTTTGTAAGGTGGTACATTTAATAAACCTGATTCGCCGTAGACCTGTGCCTAGTTTACTCCTCTCTTTCTATAGTCAAAAAGCATTTGACACAGTTTCCTGTGATTGCCTACAATATTTTCTGTCCAGATGGCACTTTGGTCCAGCTTTCCATTCATGGTTTACAGCTTTGTATAGTCAGCCTTTGGCTCGTGTGATTTATTCTGGTTTTTCCTCTCCTTTTTCAGCTCACTAGGGGTACTCATCAAGGGTGTCCCATGTCCCCCATCCTCTTTATCTTAGCTATAGAAACCTTGGCCTTGCTCATTAGGGCAACCCTTTCAAACTCAGTCTCTTTGTGGACGATATCCTCCGTACCCTTACTTGATTTACAGAACTTTGGAGCCGTTTCTGGCCTACTGGTCAATCCCGAAAAATCTCAGGCCTTGAATGTATCCCTCTCCCCCTCTATAGTGGTATTGCTCCGACAAAATGTTCCCTTTAACTGGGCTACTAAATTTCTTCCATACTTAGGGGTACGCCTAACAGACTCTTTTGACTCCCTTTATTCCTCCAATTATGTCCCTCTCTTTCGAACCCTTAAAAATCTACTCTTATCTTCGAAGGACCTACCCATCTCTTGCAATATTTTAGGACTCTGCCAATTCCAGTCCCCATGTTTGCCCTGAGATGTCTTTAAAATTCAGTTTTGTCCTTTTATCTTGAGTGCCAAACTCTCTCTTTAAAAAATGCCATACAGCAGCATACATCTGCACTCAGTGTCTGATGTATGCCTTCTGCTTTCCTCCTGTCATCAATTTTCGCCAACCTCTGCTTCTGTTTTTAGGGTGGCTCTGTTATATTGCAGGGTGTTCTGCAGCCACCTCTACAAACGAGGGTTCCTGCATATTCATTGCAACCCAGCTTCCTGTCCCTCCAGGGATTGTTTACAGTGCATTGTGAAGTTCAGGGAAACGGTATTGGTGGATATGGATCCACTGGTTCTAAATAATTGTGACTGACTATGTATTTTTAAAAATTAACATTCTGATACATGTATGCAGGATGGAAAGGAATAAGTTTTGTTAAAAAAGAGTTTAATACTACTTTTAGTGATCCTAGTGGTCTTTTGTCGTGGCTTAGAATGAGTACAGGCATAGTTTATGGTGGATATAGTGTAAAAAGAGGTTTATATTCTTTATTCATTTCCTACTATTGGTAATGCAGATTGATATAGATTTCAACTGTTGATTTAGATTTATGATTTAGACGTTTGTGTTTTAGTTTAATATTGTACATTATAATATCCTTCATCTTGCCATTTGTAAACTATGTACTTACTGTTAAAGTACCGATGATATGTATATTATTAGAATAAGCTCAAACCTATGGGATTATTATTGTTAAAAATTTCTGTTTTAAAATTTTCTTGAACAAAAAGCACAATCACTTGTTAGAATTTAGTTTGTTCGAGAAATATTTTCCATTATGCTCCTTTTTTTTTCTTTTTTTTCCATCACTATGGTCAAAATCAATAATTTGATTTGACCCTGTTAACTTTTAGAAAATCAAACAAACGTTCTAAAAAGTAATGTTTTTCTAACAAAATTCTAACAGTGTATACCCAGCTTTAGAAACCCTGTCAGCTATTTACTGCTCATCACCAAGAGGAGATCTCTCCCCTGGGGACACAGACCGCAATTAATGTGTTTTCTTTAGAGAATGGTTGATTCCTCTCATTTCTTTTCATTTCATTTATTCTGCAGGAAACTAAACTTTTAAAAATCAAGGAAGAGCATCCATTGTAAATGTTTTACATCCGCATTTGATATAGCCTAAAAACCTTTTGACTTTATAATTTCTTGTATGCCAGCAGGTATTAAATACTTTATTTTTAATACGTTTCTGGAGACTTAAATTCATAGGGACCAAGTGGGCTTTGTCCCCCACAGGCAAGCCTTAGATAACCCCTGCAAAGTCATCCACTTGACTTACCTAATGCATCAAAAAAGTTTCCTGGAATGTTCTTATCCTTGGACAGCCATAAGACTTTCAACTCCATTTCATAGGACTATTTTTATTATATCCCTCTTAAATGGCCCTTTATCATAACCCTTCTGCCAGTGAATACTACTTCAACCACTTCTCCAAACCATTTCCCAAAGAAAGGGGGGCTCATCAAGGCTGTCCTCATTTTCCTATTTTTTTTATTCTAGCTATAGAACATTCCGCACACCTTATCCAATTAAACTTTAACACACATAGTCAATGTGGGGACTTTTCAACCACCAAACCTATTTTTTTTCCATTTATTTTCAACTATATCCAATATCTCTCATTGGGAGAGAGATCCAAATACATCTAAGTTTGATGAGGACTGGCAAAAGATTTGTTCCACAGTTGCTGCTTGCAACATTATTATTTAATATTGCTTCTTTAGAATCAGCATTCAAAGTCCTCGCTCAATGGTATATTGTACTCTCCAGGTTTGGCACATCTCCATCTACTGCTCTATGATAAATGCATTTGTGGATGTAACGCAACTGGTGAAATGATGCAAATATGATATATTTGCCTGATTTTTAACAGACTCTGGACCAAAACATTCAAACTCTGAAAGTTTATTTCATATCCGCATTCTGAAGGATCCTTGGCTTGGTGCTTCTCCATCTCCAGTCCCCTTCCCTATCTAGATCCCAACATAAACTGGCTACCTACAGCCTATTAGAACTGAAACTTCAACACGCTTTTGGAAGAAACTATTTATTACATTTGTGTGAGTGTGACAGAAAATTGACTCCTTCAATAAAAAGCTAACAAGTAGAGCACTTGGATTCAATATGCTCACCCCTTGCTCTCTGCAGACAGCCTTAACATTTTTGTAACTATCAAAACTACTGAGAAAAGTAAACCAAGGAACTCCAGTACTACACCTTCAACCCCTCCTTTCCCTATATTCTCTGGTTTCAATCCCATACCTCATTATCGCACTGTTTTTCCAAATTATTTCTGGGTGGTGTTCTACAGATTTTACCTTCTAGCATACACAAAATATAAAAATAACATCTTTATTTGTGTATTTACGTACCTTAATCAATACCAATTAGATGCAGTATAGAATATACTTAAACCTAGCATTGGGCATATGATTATGCAGTAGATACGTTGAAGGGCAGCACATGGGATGCTTATAAGTAGTAGTTTATCTCTGTTTAGAAGATGACCTATATTTACAGAATTCAATGTAAGTTCAGTAGTTATACAATAAGCCTTCTCTCCGGCACCACCATGTAATTCTGACAGTTAAAACATGCAGCTTCCATCAGAGGTGTCAGCTTTCAGTTGAATCATGTAGGCCTATTCAGTAAGATCATTCATAAATTGAAGCTGAACTGCTGCACCTTTCAGATGACTAAAAGATAAATGAATGCCGATTGGTTGGTGGCATGTTCTGCACTTTTTGAATATACTGTATAAGGTGCTATGCAATCTGCATACTTGCGTATTGCTTTTGTAGTTTGGCTGTAGATAGTGCTGCTGGTTTAATCTTGTTTATGACACTGTATGACTAATATTTACAAGGACATGGTCTTTTTATTTCTTGTGAAAGGTGAGCTTTCAGTCTGAGCAGAATTAAAGTGGTAATGGCCGTGATTGAAGTTCCATATCCTAGAATGTAATAAAGCATCTTTTAGTTGACTATTATAACTTGGCCTATGTGTCTCATGGTGAAAGCTTCATCTTAAACTGGGCAGATGTTTATATGTTTCAGGCTTTCTGTGCTCTGGGTGTATTGCTGCTTTCTGTGGCATTGCAGATTGTAAACCTTTTTTAGTTAGCATGAGTTGTTAGCTTTTCACAGAAGGCATTCTCAAAGCTCTCCTTTCTAAAAAACTGTTGTTCTCATTGACCTATTTCCCTCTTTTAGGTGGTGCTAATCAATGCAATAAAGGATGTTGCCAAGGCTCTAGGAGATCTAATAGGAGCCACAAAAGGTGCAGCAGGGAAGCCAGCAGATGATCCATCCATGTACCAGCTAAAAAGTGCAGCTAAGGTAATGCCAGGCAAAAACAAATTGTATACTCATTGGCACAGGTACCAGGGATGGTGTCTGTTTTAATTATTTAAGTATCTTCACTCAAGTGTATGTTTGCTTGAAAGTAACCTTTGTATTCTTTTTCTACACTTTTTAGGTCATGGTGACAAATGTTACATCCCTGTTAAAGACTGTGAAAGCTGTGGAAGATGAAGCCACACGTGGTACTAGGGCTTTGGAGGGTACAATTGAGCACATCAAGCAGGAGCTGACTGTAAGGATAATGCTTGGTTTCCACATGGGTGTAGGCAAAATAAACTGATGTGTGATCACAGGTGCGGTATGTAGGTAGGGCTGCTGTGGCATAACAAAATGTGGTTATTGAAATTTGCATGGGGAAGACATCCTTCATGATTTCTTGCTGTCAGTTTAGACCATGGTGCTACTTTATGCCACAAGTATGCAGCTTGCACATCGGCTATTTCAAGGGTTCAGATTAATTTGCTACATCAGACAGCGTTGTGTACAAGAATTCAGTAAATGTCTCTATAGACAAAATAAGCTGTAGATGGGAATATTACTGTAGAAACTATTGTAAGTAAATTGCTGGGTAGGTTTCAGTTTGATAGTTTACAAATATAACCACTATTTCATGTTTACTCATTAAAAGCAGCAAATGGTTGCCCTAATATATATTGTATTGTTTAGGTCTTCCAATCCAAGCAAGTTCCTGAAAAGACAACTTCTCCAGAGGAATCAATCCGGATGACCAAGGGAATCACCATGGCAACAGCAAAAGCCGTGGCAGCTGGAAATTCATGCCGGCAAGAAGATGTCATTGCTACTGCCAACCTGAGTCGAAAAGCCGTCTCCGATATGTTGACATCCTGCAAGGTAATGGTGTACATGATTCAATAAAGTCCTTTCCTACTAGTAGGTAGCTTACTTCAGGAACTGCTATATTTAGTGTTGCCTAATGTTGATTTTCTTCCTTTAGCAAGCAGTTTACCACCCAGATATTAGTGAAGAGACAAGGCAACGGGCTCTGAAATATGGAACCGAATGTACCCAGGGATATCTGGAGATGCTAGAGCATGTGTTGACTGTGAGTACATTATGATATATTCAGAATACTTTATAAAATGTTTCAGCAATCCAACTCAGTTTGTTGCACTTTCTAATGTGGCATTCCCATATTTTAAATAACTTCTGTTCCACACACATGATTGTGTAGGTTTTACAGAAACCCAGCGCAGAGGCGAAGCTTAAGTTGTCTGGCTATTCAAAGCGTATTGCATCTGCTGTAACAGAACTTATCCAGACCACAGAAACTATGAAAGGTGGGCCATTAATAAAAACAAATATTTACGATTTATATGTGTGTGTAGCTATAAGGGAGCATATTTTATGGCTATTCATAAATTCCTGTTATTAAGTAGATACAATTTTGTGTGAGCATCACTCATTTTTTTCTACGTTCTCTTGTTGGAACTGAACACATACAGACATTTCTTTCTATTAGATACTGTTTTAAAACATATCTCAACTTCCTCACCATCTCTAAGTGTGTAGTTAAATCTTCCTGGTTACCTCCATTATTTATTGTAATTCTAGGCACAGAATGGGTGGATCCTGAAGATCCCACAGTGATCGCTGAAACAGAGCTGCTTGGAGCTGCAGCTTCCATAGAGGCAGCTGCCAAAAAACTGGAACAGCTTAGACCACGAGCCAAGCCAAGAGTAAGTGTAATGTTTGGAGTTCTCCTTGTAGTCACCTTCAGCCATCTGAGCCCAGGTTTAGATATAATATGGTTGTCTCAACTCACTGCTGCTCCTCTGTCCGACAACCTCCAGATGAGTGTGACTTGCCCTCTTTCATGTTACACATTCAGTAAATGCATTCTGTGAGAAAGGAAAAAGACTACGGTCTTGCTATTAAGTTGATGGTTTAACCAAAGTACACCCTGAAGTAAAGTGAACAACTAAAGTAAGAAAGGTCTTGATGGAGAGTCGCATTCCTTCCATGTCCCCTTCTGTCAGTGGTATCGGTTCAAGAACCCTCTCCTGCAGCCTCTGTCTGATATGTTTGATATATTAGGTTGTTAATTCATTCAACTATATATCAAACATATTGCTACAGTGTCCTGCGTATGCTCCAGGGCTGTGTTGGGGGTGTACAGAGCGACAGCAGGAGGTTTTACCATCAATAAATATGAAAAAAGGATTCATTAGAACACCCAGTTTGAAAGTATTCTGTTTTTCTCTTTGTAGCAGGCAGATGAAACACTGGACTTCGAGGAACAGATCCTGGAAGCAGCAAAGTCAATTGCAGCCGCTACGAGCGCGCTAGTGAAATCTGCTTCAGCGGCTCAGAGAGAGTTGGTGGCACAAGGCAAGGTGAGCAAGGAGGTGGAAATGTTACACTGGTTGTCACAGCAGGTACAGAGGTAAAGACTGTTGGAGTAAAAAGTGTTTGTCCATTTCTTTCTAGCCTGAAGGTTGATGTATTTCTCAGGCTAAAGTAACATTTCTTAGGAGTCAGTACAAAGCTATAAATACAGTAATACAACAACAACAACAAATGTTTTTATCAAATAGACAGTGAAAGAATTGTGTAGCTGTGCACTTAGCTTATAATAGCTCTGCATCATTTTCAGTGGTTCAGTTTACTGTGGAGTTGATTATGGGAAGTTTTGCTGCTGCTGCAAAATAATTTTGCCTAGGCTTGAATGGAGACTAATTGAGGACAGTATGTTTACTGTGTTCCCAATTATGAATGAGTGGGAAGTACTATACATCTATTCTGACTCCGATTGTTGTTGTGATAGCGAAATATATCCCTTGCTGAGACCTCTATGCCTGGCCTGTATAAGCAGATATACTCACTGCGGACAATCCTCGTCAGATAGCTGAACTCGTCAATACCGATTCATTCAAAAGAGGTGTTTATTCTTTACATCAGGTTACAGCAGATGATAGGAACAGCAGTTGAACGGTTATAGTATTGTGCGGTCAGAAAATGATGCCTTTCCTAAAATAGTTAGGCAAATCACACTATATAAATTCTAACCTATATAACAATGCTAATATTAACTGAGGCTATGCATCTCATATTCTATGCCCCTGTTGGGGCGGCACAACATCACTTCCTGTTCCGTTCATGATTGTGTAGTACATAGTAAACACACGCTATGCACACACACGCACACTATGCACACACACACACGCGCACACACATGCACACACATGCGCACACACACACACACACTATGCACACACACACACACACTATGCACACACTATGCACACACACACACACTATGCATGCACACACACACACACTATGCATGCATGCACACACACACACGCACGCACACACACACACTATGCACACACACACACACACACACTATGCACACACACACTATGCACGCGCACACACACACACACACACTATGCACGCACACACACACACACACTATGCACACACGCACACACACTATGCACGCACACACACACACACACTATGCACGCGCACACACTATGCACGCACACACTATACACTGTTTAGGCACTTTTACCAATGGACCATACTAATCCAGAGCCTAGTAAGAAAGAGATGGAACTTGTGACTCCTCTTATTAACCCACTTAGTTTTGCTGCTTTTCTACACAAGAAGGCAAAAATAAGGGGGACAGGAAGCTAAAATAGCAACTTTGTACCTTGGTCCTTTATTTTCTTATGTGGCTCTTTTAGACAGTGTGTTATGATGATCCAAAAAAAGATGTCCCATTTTTTCATGAGCACTTCAGAAATGTACTGCCAGTGGTGTGTACTACATACAGTATTATTTTTATGTGGATGACATTACTGGGAACCTATTCCAAGTGAGATACTACAAATTATAATAAGGATGTCTTGTGTTAAGCAGTGTCATCTGGCTTCCACAAAATTGGAGATGTTAAACTTTATCTAACTCTAACTTTAGATTCTATTTCTATGTAAAAAATGCACAAGCTTGAGTTAATTAGGAACTTGATTAGTGTACTGACCTTTATTTTATCACCTTTAGGAACAGGAGCTGAACTAGGATTTCAGAAAGTGAGCCCCAGTATGAGTTAGTGTTAGGAAGGAAGCCTGTGGAATTAAAGTTAATGGACCACCATCAAGACTTGATATGTTAGAATGCCAGTCTTTGAGCAAGAACGCTTAATTTCACTTAATAAGATCAGTGACAGGAGTGTAATTAGTTCTTGTGTTCTCTCCAGGTCCTCTCATTCATGCCTCGTAGTATTTACTGATGTACATGCTTCATCCCTGTCTGCCAGCGTAAAATCATCAACAGCAGGGTTTGGCAGCATTGGAATGACAATATGAGATTTGATAAGGTGTAGAAATGGCTTCTACTTTGACCTTGTCATGAGTTCTGCTTGAGCCTGAAGTGGGTTAATCCCTTCTTAGTGTTTGGTAACCCACAGCTTTATCCTTCTCTGGATGGTGTCCAGTAAATGGTTACATGACAAGTCAAACATGAATACCAGGGAAATCCCTGGCTGGCAACCACTCTGAAAAGCTGTTTAGTGCTGGCACAAATATGAAATACTAGCCTTTAGCTGAAAGACTTGTGGATTCATATACATGACCCTAAAAATAGGTAACTGAGGGCATTCCATTAAGAGAACAGAAAAAGGTCTGTAGTATATGGTGCTACAGTACTTCCCCCGGTACTGTAATAAAGTTCTATCCCATGAATGCTTCCAGTTGTTCTACATGATTTCTAGTGTATAACCTTTGTTTAATATGACAGGGATTTATGACAGATCCCCTTTTGTCATTCTTCACTGTTTAGAACTTTAATGTATTGAACAACCGTGTCCATCTGTCATCTACAAGTTCACAGCTATCACTGTTAAAAGTAGATAAGCTGTGCGGTCAGCCCTTTTCTCTATTACACTACACGTCAAGATATGTGGTCTAAAGTTTAATTTGAAGGGGAATGTGTTTTATTTATAGACACCTTTTAATTGCCCTTCACAGTTAAAGTACAGAGTATGCAGTTCACACCTTCCGTGTAGCCATTTTTTGGCTGTAAATTCATGTTAAAATGTGTTGAAGCATGTGTGAATGTGTTGAAGCATATCTATATTAAAAAATAAGAATGTAACATATTGCAGCTTACCTATCTTTAGATGTGGTGGCTGCAGTATTTAATTCTTTAGGCTTTTTCCTCCCTTATTTTCACGTGGTAATCCAGCCAGTAATATACTTCCTCTCTTAGGGTGGCTTCGCAATAGAGACCGCACCCCCTTCCCCCCTTGGACAGCAGCATTGTCACTCTGTGGAGAGGGTAGTGTTGGATAGAGTAGCAGATTTAGATGGATTTGACTAACAAATTAAATCTAAACTCTAACACTTTATAAGCAGCTACAGCAACTGTTTTCCTTCTGGGACTAAAGGTTTTATATAAATGATTAAATGCTGACCATTGTAAGCACTCCTGTCAGTGTTAGATCGTTTGTAACCCTGTATCTGCCATTTTTCCTGGTCAGCTTGGCCTGTTAAAGGAAGTTGACAAACAGCCATCTTACTAGCCAGATCACCAGGTGGAAATAATGGGAAAAACCTAAAAAAAAGACAACTGATACAGCCACCACATTTTAGGATTGATAACCGTCAATATATTATATTTTTTGCATGTTGATACCCTTTAAGTTAAGTCGGGGATTGCTAGAACCTCTTTCAGCTTTTTATTGTTGTCTGTTTCTCTGTTGAAGTTTTTTCCATACTGTCTAATAAAAGGTTGTTCCCAAAACAGAAAGTACCCTGTAATGGAGCCCTGGATAGCAGTAAACCCTGACCTGGGGTTCTAAACTTTCCCTATTCGATCCAAAACATAAAATGGTTTTAGTTGTAGATAGAACAACTGATTTTCTTCCACCTCTTTCATGCTTTTATCACATCACAATAGCACATGCTTCATAACATTAGGTAGACGACAAAAAGTTCCATGTACACAATGTTGTACCAGCATTGCCTCCAGACCAATTTAATGAATGAGCTCAAAGGCACAAATATGTGTACATGCAACCACCTGTAAGGCCAGTGCAGTGAATGCAAAGATTGGAGCAAGCATTCAGAAGAAATTCTCAAAAGGATGTTAAAATGATTTTCCTTTTTGCTACATGGTAAATGATCATTTCAACATGGAAATGTTTTCCACTCTCGGATTCCTTGTAGGTTGGAGCAATTGCCGCTAATGCAGCTGATGATGGCCAGTGGTCCCAGGGACTCATATCCGCTGTAAGTATTTTTTTTATTGGAGGTTTCCCATTAATTTATCCTATCCATAACTTGTGGTCTTACTGTAGAGGACCTAAACACGTGCCCCTTTTTCATTCTACACACTTGCCTAAATTTTTTTTTCACATTCATAATCCTTTAACCAATATAACAATAACATTGGATACTGCTGCCCATTCTACTTACCACCATTAACTTCGCTGTGCATTGGCTTGTGAAATTTGCCATCCCTTTATCGCAGCTCCTGCAGCCATCTCCTCTTAAATCTAGGTACCCTTTACCAACACCTTATAGGAAAGGCATCACTTATTACACAATTGCTAAGATCGAGTCAGGTGCTGCAACCCCTTTGCTTGCCAACCACTCAGTATCCAATTTAGATTGTAAGCTTTGTGACTATTAACATGTATGATTAGGGAAAACAAACTTGCACCATAATCTTTTGTAACCTTTTGGAGGTAAAATAGCTCCTTTCCTTGGCACTGCACTGGCAATAACAAATTCAGCAGTCCACTTACTTTGGAGGCAACATTTGTTTTTATGTTTCTGGTCATTTGGCCAATCTCGACTTCTTTTAGGCCAGGATGGTGGCTGCAGCAACCAGCAACTTGTGTGAATCGGCCAACGCCTCAGTGCAGGGCCACGCCAGTGAGGAGAAACTCATCTCCTCTGCCAAGCAAGTAGCAGCATCTACTGCCCAACTTCTGGTCGCCTGCAAGGTGAAAGCTGACCAAGACTCGGAAGCCATGAGAAGACTTCAGGTAGCGTGTTAATATCTACATGAGATATGGCAGTAGAGCACAGAATGTGCACTGCTAGTTGGCCCCATATAACAGTTACAGGGTAGTTAGCTAACTGACTGTATAAGCAATGCTTATGTAACATGTATTGTATGCCAGGTAGCAAAGCTCACAATGATATTCCATTCATGCCACCATTTTACATTTATTTCCTGTTTTTGCATTTGCTAAGACTTTTTTTTTTCTTAATCTTGTCCTCCACTCCCTTCTGCTTACTTCATGGCTTCCCATGTTGCCTTCCTTACTCTCTCCTTTCCACACTTGCCCTACTTCTGTCACACAGGCCGCTGGGAATGCTGTGAAACGAGCCTCTGATAACCTGGTCAGAGCCGCTCAGAAAGCTGCGTTCAGCAAAGCTGAGGATGATGATGTTGTGGTGAAGACAAAGTTTGTGGGTGGAATTGCACAGGTTAGTATAATTTTGTTACTACACATCTACCTGAACAAAAGCCAACTGATATCTCCTTTGGAGCAACTGCCTATTTACTGTTGGTTCAGTTTACAAGCCAGGAGAGGTTTGTTAAGGAATCCTATCATGAGAGAAATATGGACGCAATAACTGCTGAGCTCTCCTTATGAGAATGTTAGATGCCTGGCTGGCATGCTGATCGCCCTAAAACCAATACAGTACATTGAGTTCATTACCTGAAACAAGTAGACAGATAGGGACTTCCCTGGTCTGTTTACTTGTTTCCGGCCAGTAACTCCGAGTATTGAAGGTAGTGGCAGCAAGCAAATTTAGGGAGCCGAGGAACAGGCTTCTGATGAAAATTTAGCTGTAAATGATTTCAAGCTGTTGGTGACCGTATAAAATAGAAATGTGTCCAGCAAGCAGTGTTTTTTATTACGTTTTAGAACAATCACTTTTTATGTTTAAACTGTCACGTAACTGTGTGTTTTATGTGTTTCTTTTCTCTGTGAATGACTGCAATATTAATTATTCTTTGTCCAAAGATTATAGCAGCTCAAGAGGAAATGCTAAAGAAGGAGAGAGAGCTAGAAGAAGCCCGGAAGAAGCTGGCCCAGATCCGCCAACAACAATATAAATTCCTACCATCCGCCCTGAGAGAGGAGGAGAGCTAGTGAAAGCACCAGACCTGAGACATGGAAACAATCCACTCTGCAGCAGGCAGGGACAGAACCACAGCTGGAATCCACCCTCTAAGTCGCCCACTGGAATCCAAAGCCACTAAACAATAGAGGGGAGGAGTGTGGGTTGCCCACTCCAAAGACAAAGCAGTATTATCTCCCAAGGTGGACATACCCAAATATATAAATAAAGTATATATATATGTAAAGATATATACAGCTGCAGGGGATTTTGTAGTTTTGTTTTACAGTTTGATTTAATCACTGGAACAATTAATGTACCCTCCAATGATGTACACAGAGCCTCTTGGGAATTAAAGGCACTTGTAATGAAAGTGTGATGTACAAGCGTGTTTCATGATATAGGAATTCTGTCTTTGGACATGCTTAAACTGGTCCGTCACTTTTCAGAGATTAGTATTACTCTAATATTAGTACAAACAGTACACAGAAACTCAAGATGTACAAAATCAGTCAATGTAATGTGTGCTTATTTGAATTTTGTTTTGCTGCAAGCTGTAGAATTACCTAAGTGAAGATTCAAGTCTGTTTCCAAAGGGGTTTATTTGCTGGTTCAGCATTTTTAGATGTTGAATAAGCTTGCTTTATGTTCAGCAGCTACTTGTATGCACCATGCAGACTTGGTAGGTGCGGTCCTTAACATGCTTCTTCAGTCCCAGATTTGTTGGGAGTCCTTTTGTCTGCTAAAATGCATTCTAAAGCCAACACAGTTGAGTATGTTATAAACAATGAAGGGAATTTATCAAAACTGGAGCAGACAAAATCTGGAGCAGCTGTGCATGGCAACCAATCAGCTTCTCTCTCATTTTCAAATCTTAACTGAAGAGAGAAGCTGATTGGTTGCCATGCACAGCTGCTCCAGATTTTGTGTGCTCCAGTTTTGATAAATTCCCCCCAATGTGTTTTAAAATAATGGTCAGTACTCTTCCATTAAACCTCTTAATGGGACTTGTTTTCCTACTGACAGGCATAAAACACATTCCGTATGTTCTTTATAATGTGCTGAGCAATGCTTAGAGATATGTTCAAGGTCTGAGTGTCAGCAAGCAATACTGTAGCTTGTTACAGCTGTCAACAGCCTTGGAGAACTCCAGCTTTATCTAACAGAAGAATTCTTGGCAGCATTGTAAATGAAAACTGTATCTGCTATAGTAGTAGTGCTGCAAGGTGATGTTAGACGAGCGCTATGTGTATAGTTGAAGCCCTACAAACAGGCACAGCTTTAGCTCAGTGGCATTGTGAAGATTGCATCGTTTCTTTTATTTCTATTTATAACAATGTGGAATTGAACTTTCATTTCTGAAATGGTGCTCAGAATATTTTCTGTTTAAATCCTCACTTTTATGGTGAGATTGTCATGTGCAGTTCCAAAGCTAACCACCTGACGGCAGTGTTGTACAAAAAGAAAACTTGCACTGTGTCAACATTGTATGGCATTTCCTGCTCATAAGTGAACCTTGGCCATGTTGATATCATGTACAGGAGACAAAGTAAACTTACAGTGTTATACACAAAAGTAGAGTTTGGAGAAGGCAGGAGAAGTGAACAATATAGCTGATATGGAAAAATGACCTAAATGCTGAAAATTCTGTGATCCAAAAGGATGATTTGTTATAGTGAATTGAACTTATGTTTGCGTCAAACATCCATTTGTGTGCAAGGGAATTAAAAACAAAAACACTCATGCATATGACTGGATGTTTAAAGTCCCTTTTAACGATAGTAAAGCTCCCCAAAGTAGGATATTTGAGGTCTGCATAAGCCAGGGGGTGGACAAACTCCGGCCCTTAAGCTGTGGTAAAACTACAAATCCCAAGAGGCATAGCAAGATTTTCACAGCCACAGACATGACTCCCCGAGACAGATGCATCCTGGGATTTGTAGTTTCACCACAGCTGGAGGGCTGGGGTTTGCCCATCCCTGGCATAAGCAGCCAGAACCACCTGGTAATTAAGCCAGGTTACCAAACCTTTACAGAAAGAAGAATAGTGTGTGTTTTTGGAGTGCCACGCATTTCACGCACTTGTCTGTCATACAGCATCAAGAAAGCATCTACCACATGGTACTTTCATCTACTCTTCCTGCCCTGCCTACAGTGACTTTGGTCACCGCCAGCCATCCTACCCTCTCCAGCTACCAGCTATAGCTGTGTTTTGTGAGTACTTAAGGCCTTGCCTCCTACCCTGCACCTTACTTTGCCTTACCATCATGCAGAGATCAAACTCTGCTAATTTCCTAGGGCTGCTTGCAGTATGCCTATTGGTGCAGCCTACATCTGCAGCCTGAAATCCTGTTTCTCTCTGCTCTTCAGAGTCTTTCTTCGCTCCATTGGGTGTGGCCTGTTCCACTGTCCTCTCTCAGCTTATTACAGTCATGCAAGTCAGTTATTTTCTGTCTCAGTCTGCAGACACCACAAGCGTACTCCTGCAGGTCCTGTATATGATTTATTCTGGTCAATGAGCCATCAGCTGCTGAGTTTCTGTCCAATTCTGAGTGATTCCAGTCTTTACCTGACAACAAGCGTGCCTCCAAGGAGTCACCGACCCACTGCCATTACTCCTAAATCAAGAGACCAATTTGGCACATATAGATGGGGTGCACACCACTCTGAAACTAGAGGGAATCAGTCTGATTCTTCTACCAATGCTGTTCTTAGTCTTGGATCTTTTAAAGCCCCTAAGAACGTAAAGACTTTCCCAGTGCACCCACTGTTCCAAATCTTCCTCTACAGAGATTGGAAACACCCTGACAATTTGTTTGCTCTCCCAAAGCACTTATTAGCCCTGTACCCATTTAAAGAGAACTTTGATAAAACGTGGCCTGCCCTCAGTGTCCCACCTAATAATGTGACCACCATAATA